TCGGTGCTCACGGCAGCCGCTTCGTGCGCAGATATTTCTTTGCTGCTCTTATTTTCGTCTTCACAATTTCTCTCCTTCCTTCTCTTTTCTTCCATTCGCGATCCCTATTGAATTGTTCGCTGTCAAGCGGACCTATTGCAGGCGATATTATTGGGGGGTGACTTTGCTTCTATAACCGGGACTAAACGATTCCCTGAACGCACACGGATTACACTGGCCCACCTTAATCTCGGATTACAACAGTGGCTTCTCATCATTAGATCGAATTTTGACATAAAAGGAAACGCCGACAAAACTGCTCTTTTGAAAAGAACCACTTGTACTCGCCTGCAAGATAAATAAATCATTTTGTCTGAAATTTTCCTTCTCGAATTTTGACTTTCCTGTTATCGCTCATGCGAATCGACTAGTAAGCTATTATCGCAGACCAAACTGTTACTATGTTAACACGTGCGTTCCATTATTGTAAAATAAATAAAGCAAAATGAAACATTTACAGGATTAAAAAATAAACAAACGCTTCTCAGCGTGTGGTTAAGCAAAGAAAGTGGCAAAGATCTCAGATGCATTGTTTGTGAAAAATTTTGATTTGCTCTTATAATCATTGGATGATTCAGGTATCGTATATTTACGAAATTACGTTTCACACAGTTACGTTTTGTATGATGGCCAATTTCGGCTATTGTAAATAACATCTATATCGTCATCCGTAACTTTCTAAACGGTCTAGGCCCTAATGGCTACCGGCTTCGAGTTGCCGAGTTCTCACTGTCAACAAATACAAATTCTTTCGCCTTTGCCGTTCATTCATCTTTGCTCCTCGCGCTTCTCGTTTACGCACGTCCATCCAAACATTACCTGCGCTACCGTGCGGCACACAGCATCGTGCATAGCTATACGTCCCTCGCGTAGCAGTACGCCGCGGGTGGGCCTGTATATTCGGATGTTTGTCCGCGTCATTGTTGCACGTCTAACACTCGTCCGATATACCGTTTCTCTAACGTGCGATTTAAAAAGTGTTTAGAGTCACCCTAATAGGTCGCCCGCCACCTTCCCTCCTGTCCTGATGTGAGTCCTGTGCTCTTTCTTGTCTCTTTCTTCTCTTTTTTCTCTTTGAAGCATCTCTCTCGGCAACTCAGGTGTGTTAGGACGAGTATGTTCTCGCGTTTACCGAGATGCCGCGAGCACACCCGTGGCGCCGCTGACTCTCTCGTGTATGGATCGCCTAAATTCGCAGTTCTCTTTCTCAGACGTGACAACGTTGCGCTGCGTCGCACCGCATGATAAATATTCGTGGGGATATTTATCCATATGTTACGAACATCTAAAAAGTGCGCCGTTGTTCCTGCTCAGGATTTCAGGACGAGCTGGGATGAGGCTTACTCTGCGAGAGCGAATAGTTTGTAGACGAGAAGGAAAATGCGACTAGTGTAACGGTAAAATCGGAGAAGTTTCCGAAGCATAGGTCGTGAACATTAAATCGATCGATAAACATTTGGAATGGTATATCATATGTATGGCCGATACATATATCACATCGCTTTTGAGAAAATCATCGCAATGTAAGACCACGAAGGTTATCGACATTATAAAAAAAAAATGATATTTGGATTAGCAATATTGTACCGTTGTAACAATCGCGATTACTTGTACTTATGATTTTCAATTAACAGACTGCACCACAACTTTGTCTCTCTCTCTCTCTCTCTCTCTCTCTCGCTCTCTTTCTCTCTTCCTCCTCTCTCCTCTCTCTCTCTCTCTCTCTCTCTCTCTCTCTCTCTTGCTCTCTTTCTCTCTTCCTCCTCCTCTCTCTCTCTCTCTCTCTCTCTCTCTCTCTCTCTCTCTCTCTCTTTTTCCCTCTCTCTTTGTTTTATTACAACAAATTGATATATTTATGTAACTGCTCATATTTTTATTTTATTGTAAAATGTCTCAAATTATTTAACATAAGAGAAATATATGTAGTAACATGTTTCTACTCGTCTTACATTTTATTACAGTTTTTAAATTGTTTATGAATCATTTGAGTTGCATGGTTATTCCTTAATCATATATACTGGTGCACCAGAATATTTCCACCTGGGCCATAATTGCAAACCAAATAGTATTTCTCCATAGCTATCGTTTGGCTGTTTGTAGAATATTTGTCCACAACCGATTTTCCGCGTATTACCATATACCATTTGAGTGTAATCACCCACTTTAGTGATATTTTTCCTGTAAATCAATTATTTTATCATAAAATGTTACAAAAACGCTTTGATTTTTATATTATATCTTGTAATATATCTTTTTATTATATATATACAGGGTGTTCTAAAAAGATATGTCAAAAATTTAAGGGGATATTCCTCATACTTGAAGGATGAAAAAATGTTATATGGACGTAGCTGCGGAAATGCTTATTTCAGGAGTTATGTTGAAAATACTGTTAGCTGTATTACTTACACAAGGAAAAATTTAGGATTAATTATTGTAGACGACAATCGTTTAATTAAGCTTATTCACATTTGGTTTTGTGACCTTGAGTTAGTTACAATAAATGTTGAAAATGTTCGCCATTCGCCTGAATACAAGCAGTGACACGTCGACGCATTGATTCACGGACACGTTCAAAAATGCCTGGCGTACAGCGGATTATCTCGCAACCTGCAATGATACGGCCACGAAGATCTTGAATATCACGCACTGTTGTAGCATGTACGATTGCCTTTAAATGTCCTCACAAATAAAAGTTTATCGGATTGAGATCCGGGGAACGTGGAAGCCACAAAGCAGGTCCACCTCTTCCTATTCATCGATCATCGTAAGTTTGATTGAGAAAATCACGACTAATACGGCTGAAATGAGGAGGAACTTCATCATGCATAAAGTACATAACATTAAAAGTCAATATTATTCTGATTGGTATTTATAAATAAGGCACAGTTTACCAGAGATCGGTATTTTTGAACGTGTCCGTGAATCAATGCGTCGACGTGTCACTGCTTGTATTCAGGCGAATAGCGAACATTTTCAATATTTATTGTAACTAACTCAAAGTCACATTAAAACCAAATGTAAATAAGCCTAATTAAACGATTGTCGTTTACAATAATTAATCCTAAATAAGCATTTCCGCACCTATGTCCATATAACATTTTTTCATCCTTCAGGTGTGAGGAATATCTCCTTAAATTTTTGACATATCTTTTTAGAACACCCTGGGATACAGTGTATCCCATTTTAAAAAACGCACCTCGATAATTCTTCAACGAAGCATTTTCGATAAAAATGTTTCGGACAAAAGTTATTTGATTTGAAGGGGGACATAAAAGAACTATACTGTTTTGTTTACAAATGACACTACTTTTGAGATATTCACAGATCATTACTTTTCTTAAATGGAAACTCCAACTTTTTATTACACCGTCTTTTTCTACCAATTAATTTAAACAACTTTTGTCTGAAACATTTTTTATTTGCCTAATATTTTTTTAGATATTTAAGGAAAATTTTGATAACTTTTTCAATATTTAATTCATGATATCTCGCTATTTGTCGGAAGAAAAACTGGTATTAGATTTTTTTACTCTACTTAGTCTCAATAATATATTGTTACAATCAAGGTTAGGAAGTAACTCGTTACTTGTAACGAAGTTACAGTTACAGTTACTTTTTTTGGTAACTATAACTTAACTTCGTTCCATTTTTCCATCTGTAACTGTAACTTAACTTGGTTACATTTATTTGGTAACTTATCGACCTTTGGAAATTTCAAAATTATTAAATTAACAAAAGTTAAGGTACTATTATAGTAATATATTCTTGATAGTAAATAAAATAAAAAAGTCTAATACTATTTTTTCTTTCGACAAATAGTTAGTGAGATATCGTAAGTTAAATGTTGAAAAAGTTACCAAGTTTTCCTTAAATATCTCAAAAAATATTAAGCAAATAGAAAAATGTTTCAGACAAAAGTTGTTCAAATTAATTGGTAGAAAAAGATGATATATTAAAAAAGTGGGTTTCCCTTTAAGAACATTGATTATCAGAAAATATCTCGAAAGTGGCGCCATCTATAAACAAAATGCTATTGCTATCTTATGTCTTCTTTCGAGCCACACAACTATTGTCTGAAACATTTTTTGATTTAACGCAGTGAGATTCTGAGATATTTGAGTGGATCCTTTACAATGGGATACCCTATATATGAGTCATTACCAGTGAACTTGTTAAAAAATAATTGCGCAGTTGGTCATTTTTTGTGCGATCGCATCATCCCATTGCATCTTGTGTACCAGTTCGTCAATCTTCTTACTAATAATTCATAATCTTACGTGATTATTTAAAAAAGAGAAGACTTTTCAACTCATTTCAAGCCATTTTATCCACGGGTATGTAATATTAATCTAGCTAATTATTTATATTATACTATGCTTGCATATTTGTAAGTACGTGTGTACAACATATGCGCAACTGTAAAATTTAATATTTGAAGTACTTACGGCAGATGAGAAACAGATGATTTGTTGAAATAATTTACTCCATCTTCCCACTGTTGAACCAATACTTTTACTGTTGAATAGTTGTTACCTGTACTTCCCGTTAGGGCTATGTTCTGACCAACGTATTCCTCTGCTACAATATTTATTATTTTTAAATAAAGCATAATTTGTGGTACTAGGGTAGTCCCAGAAGTACCTGACCTGACGTATAGATGGCGGTTGTTTGAAAAGAATGAGTATGGTAGAAAGTACCAACCTTATAAAGCTTAAGTTTGAAGTTTGACGACGCTACGTTGTTTAGTATTTGTTTGGCAGCCATCAATAGTGAACGCTCTCAGTGAATTTGTAAACATGGAAAAAATTGGTCATCGTTATGTGACACAATACTTTCATTTGAAAGGCCTCAGTCCAACCAATATCAAAGCGGAGCTAGATTCTACTCTGGAGGAGTCTGCTCCTTCGTTTACAACAGTAAAATATTGGGTGACAGAGTTTAAACGAGGCCGTACGAGCTGCCAAGACGAACATCGCGGTGGTCGACCAAATGAGGTGACCACGCCAGAAATGGTGAAGAAAATCCACAAAATGGTATTGGATGACCGTCGACTGAAAGTGCGCGAGTTAGCAGACATGGTAGACATTTCAAAAAGTGCTGTACATTGCATATTGACCGAAAATTTGGACATGAGAAAGCTGTGCGCAAGATGGGTGCCGCGATTGGAACAAAACAGCGTCATGAGGATGTTTCAATTGAGTGTTTGGCGAAGTTTCGCAGCAATAAAGCTGAGTTTTTGCGTCAATTCATAATCATGGATGAAACATGGGTGCGTCACTTCATACCTGAGACGAAGGAACAGTCAAAACAATGGACTGAAAGGGGAGAATCGGCTCCAAAGAAGGCGAAGACAGTTCCATCTGCAGGCAAGGTCATGGCGTCAGTTTATTGAAATGCGCGTGGGATAATTTTCATTGATTATTTTCAAAAAGGAAAAACAATCAACGGCGAGTATTATGCGAACTTATTGCAGCGTTTGAGTGATGAAATCAAGAAAAAACGGCTGCATTTGGCGAAAAAGAAAGTTTTGTTTCATCAAGACGATGCACCAGTTCACACATCCGTTATCGCGATGGCCAAAATCAATGAATTAAAGTTCGAATTGCTTCCTCACGCACCCTATTCGCCACATTTAGCCCCCTCGTATTATTTTCTGTTTCCAAACTTGAGAAAATGGCTCGGTGATAAAAGATTTGCCAACAATGAAGAGGTAGAGTCTGCGGTTGATGACTATTTTGAGGAGCTCGATGATTCCCAGTATAAACAGGGTATCGAAGCTATTGAACATCGCTGGGAAAAGTGTATTGAGCTAAAAGGAGACTATGTAGAGAAATAAAGATATTTTTTCCCAAATTTTTTGTGTTTTCTTTGTTAGGTCGGGTACTTCTGAAACTACCCTCGTACCTATCATTCCGTAACCGTTTTATAACTCTATAGGGACCTCTATATGTCGGAGCTAATTTTCCTGGGCTGCTTTCAAAATTTCTTAACATAACTAAATCGTGAATTTCATACTGCTGGGCTCGCTTTCGCTTTTTATTAACGTAATTTTCATTATATTCTTGAACTTTCCTAATCCGATCACTTGCGATCGTATTTTCTCTAAATCTCTTGGTTCCGTTTCGTGGTCGTTTTCCATATATTCTTTAAATGTGTCCACCATATACCCGCGTTGTCGAACGCCAAATAATAATCGCTTAGGTATCTCACCTGTAGATCGATTTGACGTATTATTTATGGCAAATTCATCCTTACTTAAAGATTTGTGCCAATCTTTCCCATTGTATAATTTTCCTAATCTGGGTCCTAATATTTAATTTACGTGTTCTACTTGCCCGTTCGCTTGAGGGGACCCGGTGGCTACTTTTATATGAATAATATTCATCTCATTCATAAAATCCGCAAATTCGTTCGAAATAAAACACGTAGCCCGGTCTGAGACTAATGTCTTTGGTCGACTATAAACTTGGAAGTAATCGCGTAGGCACCTAATTGATTCACGTAACGTCGAAGATTTTACCGCATAAAATCGGACATACTTAATAAACGCATCTACGCTTAATAATATATATCTTTTCGAAGCATGAGAACGATCAACTGAACCATAGTGGTCAACGTGTATAGTCATAAACGGTTTTGCAAATTCAAGATGGCCGATTCAAAATAGCGGCCGATATTTAAGAATAATAAAAAAATAAAATTGGATCTCGTTTAAGGAGTTTTTGTAATCGTTTCTGAAATCGAATCCGACGTTGGATTTTACAAATTCAAGATGACCGATCCAAAATGGTGCCCGATATTGAGGAATGACCAACAATCGGAGTGTGACCTCGTACGTAACGTAAAATCTCACTCTTCACATTATGAGGGGGGGTAAAAGTATGTGTTTCCAGCCTAAAAAAATTAATTGACCTTGATATGACTGACACATAACCTTAAGTACAAGGTCAAAGTTGGAAACGTCATATCCGAACATGAAATTTTTCAATCTTGACATTTTTAGGTCAAAAGTATGGATTTTCAGTCCTAAAAAATCCAGTTTGATCTTAATAATAATCTTAACTCATGACCTTGAGAATAAGGATAAGGTCACAGCTGAATGTCCCTCGTTGACCTCTATATTCTTATTCTTATGCGTAACATTGCTCCCTAGCAGGTGCATTTTCGAAGATATTCGCGTTTTCAGCCTAAAACAAGCTTAGACCTTTATGTGACTTTCAGAGGTCAAATTTGGCAGTGTTCAAGGTCATATCCGAACGTAAAATTTTCCGCTCTTTTCATTTCTGGGGTCAAAAATATAGGGTCCCGTTTAAAAAATTGATCTGACCTTGAAATGACCTTCAAGGTTATTGTCAAGGTCAAACCCAAGATCACCGTCAGATAGCCAGGAAAAGATCATAAAATCCCAGTACTTCGCATTTTTTCTAGGACTCATATTTTTCGAGTTATTCTGCTCTTCCCGGATTTTTATAACACCCTGTATATATTGTAATAATATTATATTTGACCGATTACATTTTTAGAAAAATGCATTTGAAACTTCGTATTATATATAATACGAAACTTCGTATTTTATATAATACGTAACTTCGTATTATATACCAGGTCTGTAAATATGAAACCGGAATTTGCCCATAAACGGCCGTAGCTGTCAGTGTAGTTACCGTCAAACCGTGTCATTGGCGCCATTTCCATTTGTTGACATCTGACAAAGATTTTCAACTTACAACAATACAAGTTTCATACAACAGCATAGTTTGTAATAGCGTTGAATATGTCGAATTTTGTGCGTGGAAGCTACGATTTGTGGACAGCATTGATTTTCTGTTACCATTTGAAGAAAACTGCTGCAGAATCGCATCGAATGCTTGTCGAAGCTTACGGTGAGCATGCTCTTGGTAAATCACAGTGCTTTGAGTGGTTTAAAAAATTCAAACGTGGCGATTTGGACGTGAGAAACGAAGAACGTGGAAGACCACCGAAAAAGTTTGAAGACAGCGAATTGCAAGCATTGTTGGATGAGGACGACGCTCAAACGCAACAACAACTCGCGGATCAATTAAATGTGACACGAGAAGCCGTCTCCATACGTTTGAAAGCCATGGGAAAGATCCAGAAGATAGGAAAATGGGTTCCACATGAACTGAATGAAAGACAGCAGGAAAACCGAAAAACCACTTGCGAAATGCTGCTCGCCAGGTACAAAAGAAAGTCATTCCTCCATCGAATTGTGACTGGCGATGAAAAGTGGATATATTTTAAGAATCCTAAGCGTAAAAGATCATAGGTAACTCCAGGCGAACCATCGACATCGACTGCAAGGCCAAATCGCTATGGACGGAAGACAATGCTCTGTGTTTGGTGGGATCAGAAGGGTGTGATTTATTATGAGCTGCTAAAACCTGGCGAAACCGTTCATACTGAACGCTACCGACAACAAATGATCGATTTGAATCAAGCTTTGCGTGAAAAACGACCAGAATATCAAAAAAGGCAACACAAAGTGATTTTGCTTCATGATAATGCACTATCACACACAGCAAAACTGGTCAAGGAAACGACTGAGGCGTTTAGTTGGGAAATACTTTCGCATGCGGCTTACTCACCAGACTTGGCTCCGTCCAATTACTACTTATTTGCATCGATAAGACACGCACTTATTGAGCAGCGCTTCACTTCTTACGAAAATGTACGAAAATGGCTCGATGACTGGTTTGCCTCAAAAGAGCAACAGTTTTTTTGGCGTGGCATTCACAAATTGTCAGACAGGTGGGAAAAATGTATAGCTAGCGATGGGCAATACTTCGAATAAAATATTTTTTATCATTTTCATACAATAAACGTGTATTTTCTATACAAAAATTCCGGTTTCATATTTACATACCTGGTATAATACGAAATTTCAAATGCATTTTTCTAAAAATGTAATCGGTCAAATATAATATTATCATATATGGATGAATTTGTCTTTTTAAGCTCTTTAATTTTTATCTTTACAAAAACTTTGAAATTGGCAAAAATTATAATGGAGGAGGGAGGGGTAAATTAAAAAATTTGATATTTTTCGAAAATCTAAATATACCATTACATAGAGCATAAAATACCATTAAACTTTCATCAAATCATTTTTTCATACATCTCATAGTTTAGAACATATTCCCAAAGATGAAAAAAATCCGTTATTTTCGAGGAGTGTTTTCAACCCCTAAACGTCGAGATATGCAAATAAAGAAAAGTATGATCTGATTATTTTTTGCTGTTCTACAACATATCCAAAGCCCATCCAAATCGGTGAGGGACAGTTCCAACGATTTACTTGTTAGTAATCATAGGTAGAAAAATCGACGCTTTTAAAATTAAGAATATTTTTCGGTTTTAGTTTTATAAATTTAATGAATAAATATCTTACCATACTATTACTTTATTAGAAGACGTGACAGATGAAACACCTTTAACATCAAAATAATAATATGGTAAGATATTTTTTATTAAACTTATTAAAAGCGAAAGATATTTCTAACTTTAAAATAGTTGATTTTTCATATACATTTATTAAGCAAATTTTATTTAGTATAATGGTTATTATCTACTCTATAAAATTTGAACCTTTTTTTTAAATACCTTGTATATATGTTCAACTATAAATATATATCAGGTGTAGTAAAAAGAAATCCATTATTTTTCCAATAGATGGCTTTAGTTATCTGTATCTCGCGTTGTATAAGTCCAATCGGGTTCCACTAGATGGCGTTAGAAAGATGAGATTTCGTACTAAAAAAACTTTTCTGACAGTTTTGTGATTAGTTGACTCAGTTTTGTTTGAGCGCGCGTCAAAGATGGACGCTAGCAAAGAGAAAATACGCTTTAGTTTACAGATTTTCTTCGATAAAGGCGAAAACGCAAGCTAGGCGGCTGAAAATGTGAATAGTGTTTATGGTCCTGATACTGTAACAGCCAATCACGCGCAATTTTGGTTTCGTCGATTCCGTTCCGGTAATTTCGATGTCAAAGATGCACCACGCACTGGAAGGCCAATTGTCGAAAATATCGATAAAATCATGGACATTGTCGAGTCCGACCGTCATGTAAGCACTGTTTCGATTGCCCAAGAGCTAAAGATTGCACAAAAAACCGTTTGGAACCATTTGAATAAGGCTAGATACAAAAAGAAGCTCGATGTATGGGTGCCACACGAGTTAACGCAAAAAAACCTCATGGACCGAATTTCCATCTGCGAATCGCTGCTGAATCGCAACAAAATCGACCCATTTCTGAAGCGGTTGGTCACTGGTGATGAAAAGTGGATCACTTACGACAACGTCAAGCGAAAACGGTCGTGGTCGAATCGCGGTGAGCCGGCGGAAACGGTGGCCAAGCCAGGATTGACGGTCAGGAAGGTTTTGCTGTGTGTTTGGTGGGATTGGCAGGGAATTATCTACTATAAGCTGCTCCCCTACGGCAAAACTCTTAACTCGGAACTGTACTGTCAACAATTGGACCGTCTGAAGGAAGCAATCGCCCAGAAGCGGCCAGCTTTGACCAATAGGAGAGGAATTGTGTTCCATCAGGACAACGCCAGGTCACACACATCGATAGTGACTCGCCAGAAGCTCCGGGAGCTTGGTTGGGAGGTTCTTATGCATCCACCTTATAGTCCGGACCTGGTACCAAGTGATTACCGTCTGTTCCTGTCCATGGCGAACAATTTTGCTGGTGAAAAATTCGCTTCAAGAGAGGCTTGTGAAAATCGACTGTCTCAATTTTTTGCCAATAGGGACGAGGGCTTCTATGAGAGAGGCATAATGAAATTACCTTCAAAATGGCAACAAGTTATCGAACAAAACGGCGCATATTTGATCTAAATTGGATCATTCTAACTATGGTAATTAAAGCCTTCAATTTCATGCAAAAATAATGGATTTCTTTTTACTACACCTGATACTATATTAGTACATATTCCTACTTACTTGGTACTTGCACATTGTATGAGTCAATCCGTGCTCCAAGCATGACTTTAAGTTGCAATAATCTGTCGCGATTGTGTTCACAAACGCACCCGCTATGATTACCATAAGAAACAACAAATAACCGGACATTTTTGTCGTAATATATGTATATATGTAGGATTTGACGAATACCCGACAGGTTGGGAAGTAAGCATAAACCTTTTGAAGCGATAGAATAGTATATTAGGATACAATCAAAGAATGAGGTTACACGTTAGCTTCTTGTATGTCTGAACTCGAGGGACGACTTCCTCTGCCTCTTACTCTAACCTTTAGCCAATAAGCCAATGCCCCCACGCGCTAGCTTCCGCGGGGCCCTCTCTCGGCGATCGACTACATTTCTCAGCGCGAGTCGAGGAGAAGCGCGAATCCTACATATATATATATATTTTTTTTAGTACCTTTTATTCTTTAAACTATATTATTGGTAACTTCTTGCTAATTTCTAGAATAGTTCTCATTTATATACCATGTATCCGACGTCATTATCATTTTTATTGGCTTTTCCGTATTGCTTTTTTTATTACTTGCATGTGTTCTTTACCGTATTGCCTTTTTCTGACTTGTATATGTTTTTTTTCATTTATTATCTTCTTAACTGCCGTCGGAAACATAAATGAGCACATGAAATTAATTTGACCTTCGTATGTAAACGTTTCTTAGGTACTAAAAATATAAGTAAAATTACGTCAATAATAAAAATTATGCAATTAATAGCAGAAAAGACCTCGCAGAATCCATATAGGAAATGACTTTCAGCTAAATTTTTTCAAGACCTGCTATATAATAGTGTATGACCTGTAGATTAAAAGTGTCAATGAGCTTAGTTTTGTAATGAACAATTCCGAGCTAAAGCGGCTCAAAATTAGGGTTTTATATAGTATAGAGGTATACATAGAGTTTCTTTTTCTTCTTATTTCTCTGTGTTCTTTATCCATCTATCATTATTATAAGAATAATTATAATACAAATTATTCATATTATTATTATAAATTGAGAAATAATGCATATAACCAAATATTTCGAAAACGATACGGAATAAATGTAAATTTATGATTTTGTATTCACTAACTATTCTGATATATATTCTTTCTTCAAATATGAGAAGATTTATATTTTACGTTAAACATTGCCGATTTAATAAGAGATGTATAGAATAGTGATTATAGAATGATTTGAAAAAGTAAAACAGATTATTAAAATTTAGCCATATTCATTTTGAAATTTATCATTACAACAAAGAAATGAATACGTTTAGATAAATATTTTATATTTGAATTTTAATCGTTAATTGGAGAAGTATTAAGACATCCTTCTTGTTATTTGCGGATAGTTCGTTTTGCTTTGAGTAAGCTTTTTATTTAAATTCAAGTGTTAATAAATCTGAAAGTCGAGAAAAATTTAATTAAAGAACTATTGCGTCGATTGAAAAATCACAATACCTCGGCTAGAATCTTCGGCTTATCATTATACGCGTCAACAGAACAGAAAGCCTGAAGAAAAAACGGTTTGATGTTGGGTTGCGCACTTTACTTAAGAATCATCGTTTTTTTTCCACCCTCTTTCCCATTTTTCCAAGACTATTGGATGTCAAAAAATGGGGCCTTTGGTGGGCGGGTGGTTATCCGGATCACTAAGGAAGATATGAATGGAAGACAGAAGTCCATTCACGAACACACCTGACTCCGTGCATCGAATCGTGAGAATCGATCCTTCGAGATTCTTCCAGATCACTTTTTCTTGTGTGTTCAACTCCGTGGATGCTCTACTTGAATATCTTTGGGAATAAAAAGGAGTGCGTGATATACAGCAATTTTCTCTACGACGCGCGCGACGTTTCTTGGGACACTTAACGCTTTCGATTACGCTTATATCACGATGTAAGATTTTATATGTTGCGTGTGGATCTATGCGAATTATTAACGGATAACACTGAAAAATTAGGTCCTGTTGATACAATGTATTCAATATATTTTGTGCTTAGCAAATTATACATTAAATTCGGCTACAAAATTATAAAAATATTGTGCGAGTACCCGAAACTAAAAATAGTTGTTTGATAGAAAATATAATATTTTGCTATACCAAGAAAAGTATGGTGTAGTCGTGTAATAATAATATTTGAATTTTAGAAACATGCTAAGAGAATAGAACGCCGTAAACTCAATATGTAATATAATTAAAAATAACCTATGAATGAAAGGAATTTATGATTGAGAAAGGGAAAGGGAGGATCGTCCTAAAAACTGTAGAACAAGATTTGCTACCTGTTGTGCTGTGTTTTGTACGAACTTTTATATTCTTCTATTCTGAAGGATGTATACCTGACTCAAAATAAATTAGCCGTATACGTCGAAGGATTCAGAATAGAATAAGATGCTGACTACCGGATTTTCGGCTCCTCATTTTCGTATGTCCGGAAATCCAGTTTGATATGCGTTAATAATCATCCTTTCATTTCATTGATCAAAGCCAGAAAGATTGATTTCGTGAGAATCTTGCGGATCTCATTATATTCCTTCTTGTTATGTATGTAGAAATTAATTACATAACTATTGTCTGTTTTTGCGTCTCTAACAGAATAAAGACTGGAGAAAATTTAGCGTTTGTTTGAGGCTTTGGGCGCGAGTGTTCATCAATTTCAAATACGAGATAAATGTAAATATTGAATTATATGTGTATTTATTAATGTGAAATGACTAAAAGAAAGTTTTCGGTATATTGTTTGAATTTATACTATCAAGTGCAAATAATGGCATAGGAGAAAATTACCCAGACAATATAAGCGTCTAAAATAAGTCTAAAAGACATCTAAAACAAGTAGTTTCTTAGACATCTCTAAGATATTTTCTATATTCGTGCATTGTTTAGATAATTTATCTCAATATAAATATATATTTAAACTTTCTCGTGTATCATGATAAAGAATTCGCACAATTTTTCGTTTATAACACTATAATCTTCATGGTTTCCTTCGTTGGAACTTATTTTACAGTGTTAATTTAATTTTTCTGTGATTGCCAAGGCCGCGGTGCTCGGAATTCAAAATCGACTTTGTGTTTCTTATCGCCACTATCGCACCACTTCTTAATTCTTAGTATGAATATATTTGGATTGTCATTACGTTCAGTAGAATTTTCCACTTTCGCTTTTATATCTTTATCCGCTTCAGGATATAACTTGATTGTGCGACAACTCATTTCCTTTTCAGAGAGGCTCTTGTCCGCCGAAGACGCGTCTTCCTGAGGGATGCGACAGAGTTCCAAATCTCCATTGTTCATTTCGAATGAGACACCGTCGTCGCATTTCTTCAAACTTGACATTGATATTTTCGTAGTTGCGGTTTGGCCGACACATTCACACGGGGGATTATACTCCTCTTGGTTAGGTTCCTTGTGCATCCTGATGATGACATGGTTATCATTAAAGGTAGCTTCAATTTCTTTATAAGGTTGACTCTTTCTAACGATTTCAGATACGATTCTGTTGGATGAAGTTTTCTTCGATTCAAATTTCTTCGATTTCAAACTGCTACTAATATATTGTTCACTAAAATTCGTTTGGGACGAGCAAGTTATTGCAGCTTGTATCTGTCCGGGTAAAGAAATTGAAGACTTGAAAACATCTATTTTTACATTAAACGCATTTACAATATTTAGAATATCGAAAAGTAATTTACGGTAGAGACCAGACACAACAGAAAATCATGACGACGTCAAAATGACGTCAAAATGATGAGGAAAACTCATTTTTTTATCATGATTCAATGATAATTATTTTCTCGTTATTTTGATGTCATTATAATTTTATGTTCTACCTAGGAGGAAGTACACTAAGCTTTAATAAAATTGTAATATTTACTGTGTTAAAATTCATTAATCTTTCTAACATTTCTTATTATATTTGGATATAAAATGCGATATAATGTATAATATATTATATATTAAATTGTCAAAATGACAGATCGGCCGAATAATCAACAATCATGATATGTATGCATATCCAAACATGATTGCGAACAATTAAAAAAACTAATGAGTTTTGGCCTAAAATTTTATCAAAGCTTATATATGATTTTGACAATTTATGTAATAAGATACTTTGTCTCTGGGTACGATTGGACAGATAAATTTCGACTTGTCGATCACGGGCTGCTCGAGTGAATAAAAGCAACAAGGCGAACAAGGTAATATTGACTCGGGCCATTCAGCAATCAATAAAGATTTTCTTGGAATCGGACAGCCGCAATTGTAAGTTGCTGCAATCATTTTTATTGGTTTATTATTTACTTATGGGTCTGAGTAGAGAAATTTATTGAGTAACATGATTTAAGAAAAATGTTGAAAAAAAATTAAAAACTGTAAATTTTGACTGAGTTAACCAAATAGTGACATCTTGATGATTTGTAAGGGACAGTACAACGGAGACAAGAGATAGTTTGCAACGTGAATATACCTTTTAATGCGCAAAGTTATTTAACAATCGATTTATTACTTAAATTGCTCAGATCATAACCACATTTTAAAATAAATTTTAAATAAATATGGAATATTAAATAAATAATAGCTTTATTTTCGAAAACATATTTTTTTAATTTTAAATTGCCGATGAAAATGCAATCCTTTCCCAACGAAGGTAAGACTGAGACTTTGGTGTTCTATTCTTTCAAAGAAAATATTCTTCTCTCTACTATAATATTACATATTTGATAATTACATATTTGATTATTGAGTAAGAATTAACCAAAATTAACCAAAACGAAATATATAAAAATAAATGCTTCGATTCAGATATTAAATTTTTTTCAATAACACATGGTATTCAAAATATTTTATAAATCAAAATGCATGCCTTTTATTTTTCTATAATTCAAGTGCCATGTTCACCGTCATGTCTGCCATTTTTGCCCGTTGGGAACGATTACTCGAAATATTACCAAGAGATAGGAGCGGAAATGATCGGCAATCAATTGCTCATCAGATTGGAGAAAGACAAGAACAGACTAAGAAAGAAACGACATGAATGGAATCCACCTTGCGATTGTGTCGAGATTCAAAGACCGACGAGCAAGAGAGGCCCCAAGATAATCAATGCGAATTACGACGATCGTGTTGTATTCCGCGTTCACTCTTCTTCTCAGTTTGACACACAAGAGGAATTGGCTTATAAATCACAAACTGTCGCCTACATAGTTCGTCCCGTGTTGCTTAAAGTCTTAAGGAACAGACAGTTCTTGATCTGTATATCTTTTAACATCATAAAGTTATATTAAATCCAATTAAATAGTTTGAAGCAAAGTATGGATGAGAACTGTCTATTTTCGATTTTATCAACGACTTCTCAGCCCTTTCGGTAGCTTCTATCAAGTGAAAAACATTATTATTAATAAAAAATAACGAAAGGACGAGAGAATTTTCAATTATGATTTTCATTTCTGCAAGAATAATATATGCAAAAGATTCAAATTTCCATAGATTGAATCGTGCAGAGATGAACAGAATAGCCACCGATGCAAGACCATCACAATATATCCTCAAAAGAGTATTCCAGGATCCCAAGAAGTATATACTAATCACATTACAGAGGAAAATCAAGATATATTTTTATTGCGAATAAAAAAGAAAATGGAATTTCCTGACCAGAAAAATAGAAATGTCGAGCTTGAACTCAGAACACCAAAACAACCAAAACTACTAAAACTTCCAACACCGTCATTTACACAACCTGTAGTTGTACCACTGCAACCAGAAAATATTGCTGATTTGGTTGTGGAAGACATAAAAGAACCGGAAAATTCGAGTAAATTTAAGAATAAATCTAAGAAAAAACCAAAAAAAGCAGCGAAGAAAAGAAAGTACGCAGATGTAACTCAGAAAATAAGAGTATAGGAATAACAAATGACATAATAATAAGAGAATCAAATGTATTTATGTTAAATCGCATACAAAATCGATTAAATAACATAACTAATAATGATCCTGAAATGTTTTCTTATATTTTTTATCTTATATGTTAAATAGAATCTGAAATTATGCATATTTGTAATTATATATTTTTGCATAATTTTCGTATATTCCAGTTTGCCTCATTTTTTGTGAAAAATACGCTGTTACTATGATTATATATTCATCATCAATAGTTACAGTTTTAAGAAAAGGTATTCTTGCGTGGTAAGAGTGAATAGAGTGATTTTCTAATGAACTTAAATAATAACTCAAGATACTCAAAGAATACCATTGTATAAGTGTTTATGTCGGACGGTTCTTGGTAGTCAACGACGATTCAGAGAATATTTAAGGAACTCCGAGCTACACATATTTGCCGCCTTAGCATTGTTACTAATTCACTCAAGGTCGATGGATCACAAATCCTGCGTACATTGTTTTGCTAAACATATGAAAAATATCTATCCCGACATACAACTCAGTAAGCAAATTGACCGCAAATCGCATCTAAATTTGCAGTAAATTCGATCAAAAACTCATATCAAAGATACCATAACCATCTGTGTCTGCATTCAGTTCATGTTTTGGCGTCAAAGCCTGCTGCCGGGTAACTTACAGCAAAAACCGCGCAAACCTTGTTGCGCATAATTTAGCGCTAAATATTATAAGCAGCTAGGTTTGCATGATTTTTGCTGCAAGTGTCCGACAGAAAGGTCTGTTGCATATTTGGCGGCTATTTGGCAATAGAATTTGATAATACAAATCTTGCATCAAATTTGTTATTTATCTGCCATCAAAATTTGATAGCAAACTTTGCTTGAAATTTGCTCGCGCAGGTTTGGCAATCTGGGTAAATTCAAATTCAAAATTTGAATTTTCTCAAAAAATTTAAATTCAAATTTAAATTCAAAACTTAAATTCAAAATTTAAATTTAAAATTCAAATTTAAAATTTAAATTCAAAATTAGAATTCAAAATTTAAATTCAAAATTCAAATTCAAAATTCAAATTCAAAATTAAAATTTAAAATTCAAATTCAAATTATGAAGGAAAGTAGATATTGCGATTATCAATATATACGAAGGAACAAGACTCTGCTTAAGCAGAAAAGGAAAAAGAAAGAAGAAAGGAAAAACGGGGACGCGAGTGTAAGGAAATATGTGGGCGGTTATGTAATCGTGAATGCTATGGGGGATCATAAAGGTGTCGTTCGCATTCTGTGTGGTCGCGTTTAAAGACTGGCAACAATGGCGCTAGCCAATAAATTAGGACGTCACGAGGAAAAGACGTGTACTTATTGAACATGAGAAGACAGCGTGACGAGCACGATTGCGATGGCGAATGAAAAGCTACTCGTTTTTCCCCTGACTCGGAGACTAAAAAAGAGGAGATACCTGCGATCGTTGATGAATGAAATGACAAGTGACTGCGATATTATACGATGCGATAGGACGACTCTCTAGACGAGCAAAGAAAGGAATCTTGACACGTAGGTTCGAAACGTCTTTTAGAATGAAAGAGCTACGATAATTTGTGGACCACTTGAGAAATGTATAAAATCCAGATGTTTTCGCACAATTTAGTATAAACAGAGATTGAATACATATAAAAGAGTTTATAATATTTCGATTAACGAGATTTCTTGTGCAGTAGTCGATTGACGTTATGTTTTTTTTATTTCCAGGAATGTTTATAATCTATTCCTATCTATTTCCATGTAATAAATAAATGTTATAAATAATATTAAATATATTTGATATTAGCATAATATTTAATATATGGAGTAATATCTATTGATTGCTATTCTTATATTAGGTTCTTTAAACATACAATAGTCATGTATTTAGATCGTTATATATGATGAGTCAAGAATAATCGGAAAGTGAGCTAAATCCTATATTAAAATTACTGACGTCATGTGAACAAGACGTTTCTTATGGGAATGATTGTGATTATTGAGTTGAATTGAGTTGAGTTGATTATTGAGTTGAGATTGTAATATGTGATTATCTTGCAATAATTTTAATTCAGCTCGTCGAATCGGTTTGACAAATCTAGATTTGCATTTGATCTTTTTAAGAATGAATTTATTAAAATGAGTTATTAAAATAAAAAAATTATTTAATTTTGACGTAAATATGACATTTATTAATCATATGACAGAATTTTTCTTTTTTTTGTAGAATTTTGTGGCGATTAATCTTTGTAATGTTTGTTATATTTTCTTGTATTACAATTAAATTAATTATAATCAAAAAAGAAAAATTGACGTATTTAAGCTTATACATATGTGTCAATATTCCTGAAGAAGTTAAAATATGAAAAATACATGCCGTAATATTGCGATCACAATCCAAGATCTTTAAGTGAAATAGTTATTGTATTTTTTAACTTGATAGAAATTGCTGATTTTCAAGTCGCGGACTCATTCGCGCTTGTTTTCTGTTTTAATAGGCGCTAATTGTTTTCGATAATGGCCAGGATAAATAAATCAGTGAACACATTCGCCGCAGGTAGTAACGTGCACACGACTGCGTCAGAGGTGGTCCATCGATCTTATGCATTGTGACATCGGAAACCGCGACTGTAGCTATCCCGACTTGTGAACAGTGAACGAAGGGAGAGCGGAGGCCGTAATGTCATCATTATATTATATCACACAGATGCGCGCCGATCGGGAAATCTCGAGGTTTTCGTTGTTATATTGCGGTTACGGCATCACGGTGTCCACAAAAGATCTCAGCTGGATTCCCGCTGAGAGAAGGTATACAATATCGCAAGATTGCTGATTGGCCGGCTTCCCTGTCGACAGTTATGGTAATAATGTGTATGTATTTTCTGTGCGTACTTTCTTTTTCCGCTTCAACTCCATGGCATATCATCACCTGCCAACTCGTGAATACGCCATGAATTCAAGTCAATCTGAGGAATATTGTATAATTGGCTATAATAATATTAATGCTCGTTTAACATATCAACCAAGGGAAAGTCAGTCAGAGGAAAAGTTGCTCCTTATTAAAAAACGCGTTGATTGAGTCTATTTTTATCGAATTCTAAGGCGGAGCCCCTAAACTGGATAATTACCAAAAGAAGAAATAAGGACAAGAAAGTGATAAGGCTATAACTAGTGAATAAATAAAACCGTGAAGAATGATTATGTACATATGCCGATGCAACTGTATTTACTTCGTACTCGTATAATCATACTACTTTGCGACAGGTTTGAAAATATATAAGAAACGTAAATGTATTAAACCTTGAATATTTCGACGAATTTCTCAGATTTCGTAAGGAATGGAAGGTCATTTAATGTACATTTAGTGTACATATTAAGCGTACTCTCAAATAGTATTCATTTTATGCATTTTGACGAGTGTTGCATAATCAATGTGCATCGATGCGCATTGCTTGCTGTAACAAATTTTATGATTGTACGAGCAACGCATAATTTACGACTCTTAAAATATTCTTACATAGACTCGTAATTTTGTAGTCATTTTCACAACCAGGTATTATTGATTACTCTTTAACCGCAAGATGTATATATTTTTAGATACTTGATGAAACTGACAACTGGTAATTTGTATACTGCTTGTGCCAATTACTTTTTTTTATTAATTAGAAAACCTTGACGTGTAAGAATCAGACAACTTTATTTTTATAACAGAATATATAGAATTGCGAATTGCAAAAACTAAATATGCAAACTTCTAGTTCTGATTAAGAACAAATCGATACAAAAGCCTCGTTATTCTCATTACTATATACAGGGTGTCCCATTTTAAAGGACTCACTTTAATATCTCAAAAACACTGCGTTAAATCGAAAAATGTTTCAGACAAAAGTTGTTTGGCTTAAAGAGGGACATAAGACAGCGATAGCATTTCGTCTATAGATGGCTCCACTTTCGAGATATTCACTGATCATCAATTTTCAAAAATAGAAATCCCAATTTTTTATTATATCATCTTTTTTTACCAACTAATTTGAACAACTTTTGTCTGAAATATTTTTTCATCTGCCTAATATTTTTTTAGATATTTAAAGAAAACTTGGTAACTTTTTCAACATTTAACTTACGATATCTTGCTAACTATTCGTCGAAAGGAAAAATGACATTCGTCGAAAGAAATAATGATTACTTTTTTACTTTATTTACTATCAAGAACATGTTACTATAATAGTGCCCTAACTTTTGTTAACTTATCGACCTTTGGAAATTTCAAAATTATTAAATTAACAAAAGTTAAGGTACTTATAATTATAGTAATATATAGTTATAATTATAGTAATTATAGTAATATATTCTTGATAGTAAATAAAATAAAAAAGTCTAATACTATTTTTTCTTTCGACGAATAGTTAGTGAGATATCGTAAGTTAAATGTTGAAAAAGTTATCAAGTTTTCCTTAAATATCTCAAAAAATATTAAGCAAATAGAAAAATGTTTCAGACAAAAGTTGTTAAAATTAATTGGTAGAATTGGTGGAAAAAGATGATATAATAAAAGATTGGGATTTCTATTTAAGAAAGTGAATGATCAGTGAATATCTCGAAAATGGCGCCATCTATAAACAAAATGCTATCGTTGTCTTATGTTCCCCTTCAAGCCAAATAACTTTTGTCTGAAACATTTTTCGGTTTAACGCAGTGTTTCTGAGATATTTGAGTGGGTCCTTTAAAATGGAACACCCTGTATATCCTTCTATATATATTCTTTCTTTTTTTTATATCTGAGAGATATCTTACAAAGTGATAAATAATAAAAAAATAGTGTAATAGAATCAGATTAACTAAAGAATAGCATATAAACTGATAAATTTTTAAAATAGTACAGTGTCACAAAGAGAAGAATAACAAACAAAACAAAGCGGGTACAATTAATTTTTTGACCTTTTCTTTATTATTATATTTTCTTTATTATTATAAATTTATTATAAATACTTTCGAACAAGACCAACGATCGATATCAATCTTTGTCGTAATTCAGTTACGTCGGATAAATTTTGTTACGAAAACGTTATAGACAATAGTCGGTACTTTCTATTTAAGTTCATGCACGTCGGGATATCACGTGCGCGTACATATCATATACCTCTTACGTTATTATATACGGGGATACATGATGCGCCTTTGGTGGGGCACTTGGTTTACTATTAGTTCGAGTAAAAAAAGAATCGTTCTGTTTCAAACAGATAGAGTCCCGTGAACGTGAGAAGAACTGCAGAAGGTGTCTTTACTCGAGCTGTGCTGCACGGGCTACGTGTAATTCTTACAAATATCGCGATATTACTGCGTGATTCTTTCCGTTTAATTTGTCCTATAAGTAACGAGTAAGTATCGTGAAGTGTCTAACAAAGTGGGCCATCAAATAAAATCTTCGTGAAATTCGAAAGTATCCATTTTACAAAATATTCTTGAGTAGCCTGAAGTAAATGTATGAAGTGACCAAAAAATCATGCGTTTCTTGCTATTTATAAATTTACTTCTACAAAATTAGAGTTTATTTCTTTCAAGGAAAGCTTTATTTATTAAGCTAAATGTAGTGATGAAGTTGCTTGATAAATTGTTTGTTTTCCTCTTTTTTTATTTTTTTAGTTCTTATCAAGTTTTTAACAAGACCAGAACTGTGTTACATCATTATTCTTATAGAGAAGAGGACTGGTTTCCTATGAATGATGATGTAACAACTGTATACCTTAGGTTATTAGAGGAGCGATTAAAACAATTCTTGCAGAGAAATAAATATTAATCAACTCTAATGAATTTTTACGCGTAATCCCTGTTCATGCAATACTTTATTTTATCGTTCGTGTTTTATTTCGTCACTTTTCAAATATACACTGCTCAAAAGAATTATGGTACAGATAATTTGTTGCCGAAAATTGGCCAACTTTGACTGGCGATTACTTCGTGAAAAATTATTGTAGACTAATGATTTTTTTTTTCAAAATAAAGCTTGAAATCTCTACTTTAAGAATGTATCTCCATTTTTTACATGCGATACACCTCTACCCCTATAACCCTTGACATCTGAGGGCATGTTTGGTATACTGAAAATTGCAAAGTTTGACGGAATGCACGGACGTGGACAATTTTTTTGTGGGGACGCCGTTTACATCGTCGTAAAGTTCAAATCTTCTCCTTCAATTTGAAAAAAATGGAGTCGCTACAATTTTTGTTCGCAAAGTTACAGCCCTTCAAAAATATCGTTGTTTTTGACCTTCGAGCCAAGTACCAGCCGACAGATTAAATGACTGGAAATCATAGTGGAGCAACGACAAAAGTGTTTGTTAACATACGCACGCAAGCATGCGCGCATGTTTTTCAGCTCCTGGCTCGTATTTTGACCACAGCCAACATTCCTAACATCGGCAAAAAAAACTCTCTCCGTATTCTCCACGGCTCAATATGATTTCTGAAGAGCTGTAACTTTGCGAAAAAAATTGTAGCGACTCCATGTTTTTTTTAATGGAGGAGGAAGATTTTAACTTTATGACGGTGTAAACGGCGTACCCGAAAAACAATTGTCCACGTCCGTGCATTCCGTCAAACTTTGCAATTTTCAGTATATCAAACATGTCCTCAGATGTCAAGGGTTACAGAGTAGGGGTGCATCGCACGCAAAAAATAGAAATACATTCTTAAAATAGAGACTATTTAATAGACTATTTAATAGGCTATTTAAAAAGTGAAGAAGGTGCGCTTTGAAGAAATTCTAGTGTAATTCATAAAAATAACTTATACTGATTTTAATACCGCAGAATTTGATTAACTCATATGCTGCCAAAAATGACCAAAGTAACACTTTTTGAGACTTTAGCTGTTGATTACACAGGCACACAAAAAAAAGTTGTTCGATAAACTATACTACCATACTTATATGTTTTCGGGGTCGTGGAATCCGAATCCGTTATCCATTTTACCCCATTACGTCAAGTTTCGTCCCTAACCCCAAAAAATATCTCAGAATCGTTAAAATAGCGTTTTTGAACGACGTTGAAGTTTGGAGCGTTCTTCGAGCGAAAATTGAAAATATCCTTTATTTAAAAAAAAAACCACTTAATATAAATGTAAATACATATAAAACATAAATTTGTGTTAAATATGACATGACATTATAAGAAAGTTGTTCCCCCGAAAATTACGCACATATAATCATTCATATAGATGATAATTTCCACAGGACGTCCAAACACTTTGTGCCAAAAACTGAAAGTGCATTTTCACTCTCCGGTATGTGGTAAAATAGAAAAAAAATAGTTTAATAGCAATCGCGTCCCGGAACACTTTTGTTCTCCCCGAAAATTGTGCACATACCACCACACTCAGACAGATTATAATTGCTTCCGGCAGTCACAGCGCTTTGTGCCAAAAACTGACAATGCATTTTCACTCTCTGGCAAGTGGGAAAATAGAAAAAAAACAGTTTAATAGCAATCGCGTCCCGGAACACTTTCGTGAACCTGACGTGTGGTGGGGTAAAACGGACAACGGTTTCGGATTCAGCGACCCCGAAAACATATAGGTATGGTGGTGTAGTCTAGCAAACAAGCAACTCCTTTTCTTTGGTGTGCCTGTGTTATTAAAAAAATCTGACATAATAGGACAACTTGAACTATCAAATTGTATTCAGCATAAAAATTTATCAAAATCATTTACATTGATCTCTATATCTAAAATTATTATACATCCTGGTCAGGATGGTTTAACTAGAGTAGTAACCATTAGGACAACAACTTCCACTCTCAAACGCCCCATAGCTAAGCTATGCATTTTACCATTAGAAGAAAACATAATAGAACATTCGGGATTTTCGTTCCCGAAGACGGGCGGAATGTTGAAAAATAATTCTTTAAAAATGTTATAAATTCGCTAAATAAAAATTTTAAGGTCACCCAAGTGTATAAAAAATAATAAAATTGAATTCCGTAATTTCATAACGCTTTTCTTAGCAGAACACTGTCGTTGCAGGGATATGAGTAAACAACTCTAAAGGGATTCTGATTGTTCTAAATATGCTACCTCTTTCAAATATTCTCTAACTCTCGAAGAGTACGCATCGTTTCTGTGGTTGTACAGTGCCTATCTAAGTGTTAAATATTAAGATTATTATTAAGATTATTATTATGCTGATCTAAATTTGAAAATAATCAGGAAAAAAGTTGCAAGGGGACGATCGAATTCACTCTACCTTCCCGTTGTTTTTTCTTTTAACGTTTTTTTTATTTGCCTTTTGTATCTTACTTCCGGTGTTTGACTCATCTCTATTCCGCGACAAATATTTTGTGATAATAAGTTATGTAAAGATGAGTGCAGAAAAAATCATTTTCGCATCTTGTTCTGGCAATAAAAAAACTATGGCATGCAATATGAACGATGAGTGTGTTCTTGCTCACTTATAGCGTAGATCTCTGGTCTAAATGAAATATAAAGTATTATATCTAATAAATAGTCGTATCTAAACAAATAAGAAAAAAGACTTACTGCCACAATGAATATTTTGATATAACTTTTTTAGATAGACTTTTACATAATAAATTTTTTCTTTTTTTATCTTAACTTGGGTTATCCGTCGAAATTTTTAAATTTTTCTAAAATTTTTGTTTAAAGCTTAAGTCATTCATTGAATAAATTCGTATTTGCAAACTCGAGGCTAAATATGTGTTCGTTAAAAATTAAGAAAAATACGGGGACTTAAACTTTATAGACGAATGATTTTAAACATTCTCTTTATCTGTTCCGGAGGGAAAGTGCAAAAATAAATAAAAGCAAATTTAGTATCGCTTAGTAAACATACTGAATCGACGAGAGTTGATTCGATTCTTAATGCAGTTATTCCAAGATAAAAGTTATAGTGCTACGACAATGAATGTGTTGTTTCCATTTGGCAATTCTGTATAATGGAATTACTTTTCTTTTACATCCGAATCCCGTGAGTCATGCATCCTTGTATAACTGAACAACAACATAATATTGATTTGCTTGTTATTTCAGCAAATCATGACGTTATTACCGCCAACGTTGGCACAACAAAAACATATAGATAAACAACTGCCATCTAACCCGGAAATGAGAAAGCAAGATATTAGAGCTATACAAGAATGGCTGTCCAAGCAGCCGCATTTACCGGATCATATGGGTTTGTCTTTGTAAACTATTTCGTATAACATGAGATACAAAAAGTTCAAGTATCATAAACCTGCATATACATACGTTTATCTATCGGAAGCAAATTTTACGATAAAAATTACATTTTGCGTTTTTTTCTTAGCAGCTTCTCTCTCTCTCTCTCTCTCTCTCACTCTTTCTCTCTCCCTCTCCACTTAAGTTTTAATATCTAATATCATACATATTTGTAATTAGGTTACGAATTGTAATTTCATTGACGTAATGCCCGCTTATTAAATTAAACAACTATATCTTATGCAAAAAAATTTAAATTATATACGGCCATTATTCATTGTAGACAATAGCAGACTGGAAAGATTTCTCTACGGCTGCAAGAACAGTGTTGAGAAGTGTAAATTAATCTTGGAAAGATATTATAGTGTCCGTACATCTTTATCAGAGTTCTTTACCGTTCGTGATCCGTTGTCTCGAGATATTCAAGATTGCTGCGATGCAATGTAATTATACACATCTCGTTCCTTCTTCCACTCTAAATAATTCAACGAGGAAATTATTAACTACATCTTGTTCCTTTTGCGACCAGAAGAAAATATTAAGTTGATTTATTATTGTATCTGCTTTTTAAATATACATGATTAAATATACAGGATGTCTTAAAAGTAACGGACCACCCTAATAACTCTTCAGTATTGAAGTTTCAAGGAAAATGATCTGAATAAAAGTTGTAGGGATTTAAATGAGCTACCTTATGATGACCTTGACTTTGATCTTGACCTCTATTTTCAAGGTCATTTGGAGGTCAACTTCCGTTTTTTAAATGGGAACCTTTATCTTTTATTATATTGTTTTTTTCTAGTAGTTAATTTGAACAACTTTTGTCTAAAACATTTTTTTATTTGTCTAGTATTTTTTGAAATACTTGAGGAAAACTTGATAACTTTTTCAATATTTAACTTACGATATCTCGTTAACTATTTGTCGGAAGAAAAAGTGGTACAAGACTTTCTTTATTTATTTCTTTATTTAGTCTTAAGAATATATTGTTACAATAGCGCTCTGATTTTTGTTAATTTGATGATTTTGAAATTTCCAAAAGTCAGTAAGTTGACAAAAGTCAAGGCGCTATTGTAACAATATATTTTTGAGACTAAATAAAGCAAGAAAGTCTAGTACCATTTTTTCTTCTGACAAATAGTTAGCGAGACATCGTAAGTTAAATATTGAAAAAGTTATCAAGTTTTCCTCAAATATTTAAAAAAAAATATTAGACGAATAGAAAAATGTTTTAGACAAAAGTTGTTCAAATTAACTAGTAGAAAAAAAAGTGTAATAAAAATAAGGATTCCCGTTTAGAAAACGCAAGTTGACCTTCAAATGATTTTGAAAATAGAGGTCAAGGTCAAAGTGAAGGTCATCACAAGGTAGCTCACTTAAATCTCTACAACTTTTATTGGAATCATTTTCCTTGAAACTTCAATACTGAAGAGTTATTAGGGTGGTCCGTGACTTTTGGGACACCCTGTATATACCGAGTGTATCTGACCACCTCGATTATTTTGTAAACGCGACATTTTAGAATAAAATGTATCAGAGAAAAATTGTATGGTTTTAAGGGGAACATAAAACGACTATATAATTTTGTTTACAGCTGGCGCCACTTTCGAGATATTCACTGATCATTACTTTCTTTAAATGGAAATGGAAACTCGAATTTTTTATTATATCAATTTTTTCTATCAATTAATTTTAACAACTCTTGTCTGAAACATTTTTCTATTTGCTTAAAATGTTTTGAAATATTTAGGGAAAAGTTGGTAACTTTTTCAACACTTAACTTACGATATCTCGTTAACTGTTTGTTAGAAGAAAAATGGTATTAAATACTTTTACTCTATTTAGTCTCAAGAATATATTGCTACAATAATGCTCTAACTTTTGTTAACTTATCGATTTCTGGAAATTTTAAAATTATCAAATTAGTCAAAAATCAGGGCTCTATTGTAACAATATATTCTTGAGATCAAATAGAGTAAAAAAGTTTAATACCATTTTTCTTTCAATAAACAGTTAACAAGGTATCGTAAGTTAAATGTTGAAAAAGTTACTAAATTTTCTTTAAGTATCTCAAAAAATATTAAGCAAATAAAAAAATGTTTCAGACAAAAATTGTCCAAATTAATTGGTAGGAAAAGGTGATGTAATAAAAAGTTGGGATTTCCATTTAAGAAAAGTAATGATCAGTGAATATCTCGAAAGTGGCACCATCTGTAAACAAACTGATATAGTTGTTTTATGTTTCTCTTGAAACCAAATAATTTTTCTCTGAAATATTTTTTTTTAAATATCGCATTTAAAAAAAATCGAGGTGGACGGGTGGTCAGATACACCCGGTATATTAAATATCCATTAAATTTATTATATTTAATGGATATTTAATATATTATATTAAAAATATTAAATATATTATATATATATTAAATATATATTAAATATCTATTGAATATATTAAATATATAAATATAGTATGCATACACACACACACACACACACATACACACACACACACACACACACATATATATATATATAGTATCTATTATTAATTATATATTATATTAATTATATCTTTTATTTATTAGAGACTACTTCGTTTTACCGTCATTGACCGACGAAGGATATCGCGTCACCGTGTTACGAATGCGTGATACTGATCCAGAAAAGTTTTCTATTCAAGCGATTGCCAGGCGTATTTTGATGGTGCTTGACATTCGTTTAAAGGAGGAAGCTTGCCTGTCGAATATCATGATCATAGACCTGCAGGTATTTTATATTATTTATTATTCTTTACATTCCAATATAATTGCCGTTTCCTCATCGTAGCCAATAAATTATGATGTGAAAGCGATAAAACATGCGAGTTTTCTTTTCACATCGTACTACAAGATAAGTTAATGTCTTTTATGCTATCTGTCATATTCAATAATACAGATTGATAAAGTATACCAGAAACTTCCCTTCGTATTATTTCGCGTTAATAAATAAATAAATTCTACAATATTCTCACATTTTTAACAAGAACGGATCGATAGTCTTAGATAAGCTTATAGCAGATTTTAAATTTCGACTCAGGTATGATGTGATTTCTGACGTCACCGTGTTCCAGGAATCATGGGAACGCGTTCGTTAGGTATGAGCATATGAACGTATAACGAATAATATAAAATTAATTTGCTTTATTAAAAAAATATTTAAAGTACGCGGAGTCCACAAGACATAACATAAGACCAAAATTAATTCAATCTTCTAATGTGTATAAGAGGTTGCATCAACATGTAGAACAGTATAACGAGTTGCGCAGTAAACTTTGCAGGGCACATGTGATCAAGTGCGGCTCAGTAAGCGTATATCACATATATAATTAAGTGGGTCGCATATCTTTTCTCGATAAAATTTGCACTCGATTACGCATAATCATATAAAGTTTGTCAGCAATTCGTCATACTACTGTGATCAAAAAGTATCCGAACTTTATTTTTTTAAAATCGCGGATAAACTGTAAATCAAATCCGTTTGCTTTCTTAAGTTGGTACACATGTCCTTCACATTTGGTGAAAAAATCATGGTGTTCCTTCAAGCCGTTTGAAAGTGGCAGTTGTTTATGTCAGTGAAGATTGTTGAGCACGGCAATTTTTACGATGCCGAAAAATACGGAGCAAAGAATTTGTTTGAAACTTTATGTTGTGAATGAAATTTCGTTTCACAAACGCATTCAAAATGTTGCAAAAAGCTTATGGCGATAATTGTTTATCGAAAACAAGTACGTTTGAGTGGTTTAAGAAGTTTCAAGAAGGACGAGAATCCGTTGAAGACGACCCACGCTCTGGAAGCCCATCAACGTCAATGGATGACGCTCACATTGAAAAAGTGAAAGAATTGGTGCACCAAAATCGTCGATTGACTGTACGAGAGATAGCAGATGAAGTTGGAATATCATTTAGATCGTGCCAGCACACAATCCGTAAGAAACGACCGGAATTGTGGGAAAACAACTCGTGGATTTTGCATCACGACAACGCACTATCGCATACCTCGACACTTGTGCGTGAATTCTTGACAAGAAACTCAACGACTGTCGCTCCGCAAGCACCGTATTCACCAGACATGGCCCCCTGCGACTTTTTCTTGTTCCCTCTACTGAAAAAACCACTTCGCGGACAGCATTTCGAATCGATTGACATCAAAGAAAAATCGCTTCATGAATTGAAGGCCATATCGTCTGCCGCATATGAGCGATGTTTCCAGGACTGGATCAAACGCTAGCATACGTGCGTTGCAAGCAATGGGGACTACTTTGAAGGAGACTATAAAAATTTTGATGATTGAATTGTAATTTTGATTTTTAAAAATAAAGTTCAGATACTTTTTGATCACAGTAGTACTGTTTTATATATAGTGTAATTTTGTATAGAGGACTGAGTCTAGAACTTTAAGTTGAAACGCAAAGCGAAAGTTGTATTTAAGCATTGAAAATATCGAGAGTTCATTTTCATTAAGTTTTACAAATTGATTGCTTTGAAAATAAATAAAATTATGTATTGCTTTGAAAATAAATAAAATTATGTATTGCTTTGAAAATAAATAAAATTATGCAAAGTGCATGTTAAAAAAGATTAATGAATAGATATAGGCGTTGAGAAACAACACATATGATTATGAGAAAATATCTTTTATATTTTGAAAGATGTAATTATTTTGCATCTGTTTGCTCATAATTCATCGACATTAATATGAGTCGCAGTAATAATTTATTTAAAAAGTCTTGTCCTTACAGGGGTTTCGTACGATGCATTTTATAAAATGTGTTCCGACGCAATCTAACATAAAGCGAGCGATGTTAGCGGTGCAAGACAGTATGCCGTTCCGACTATTTAGCCTTCATTTTCTCCATGCACCGTCGTCTATCACTAGTATACTTAATATATTTTATCCGTTGTTGAAAGAAAAATTGATTCACAAAGTAAGTCAAAGATTTATAATAATCACTAAATAAAATGTAGAAAGGAAGTTGGAAACGTGAAGTTATATATATCTCTTATATTTGCAGTTTCACATCCACAATGGTGGTGGCGAAGAATTGTATATTTATATGAACAAGAATATACTTCCCAATGAGTGGGGTGGTAGAGCGGGCACTTTACGAGAATTAAATGGTAATTGAAGTTTTTTCTTCTATAAAATTATTGTATGTTAATATTCTAATATTTATGAGGAAATTAGAAAGTATTAAGTATGGGAAAGTAAAATTCTAGCAAGCTCATTTTCCTATATAGTACACACACATATGTACAGGATATCCCATTTTAACTTAAACAGTTAATTTCTGCAAATCACGAAGTTAAAAAATAACGTTTCTTACAACAGTTTTATGACTTCGAGGGGGACGAAGTCGCCATTAGTTTAACCGTGGTTTGAAGATTATGTGAAAATCATCTTATATTTCTTAAATAGAAATCCCCATTTTTCATTGCATATTATTATAGTTCATTTAGAGACTTTTAGAACACTATAACAAAATATTTTTCCAGTAACCCCTTGATTGTGGAGGCAGAAATGGAGTCGTGCCATTTTTGTGTTGGAAAAGAATGTTGTCGAATTTTTTTTTATGACATTATTATAAAAGTTTTTGGGGCCGCTGAATCCAAATTTGACATCAAAATTTCAAAATTCAAAATAATGGATAAAGTTTTAAATATGAATTGCGTTTTTTAACATGTGTTCTTTTACAATAAAAGGTTTTAAATGCGGCTCAAAATATAATTTAAAAACATTAGTAGAACTATTATAAAAATATTGTAGAAACTATTATAGAAATATTATAAAAATAAAAAAATTATAAATTATAAAAGCAAAAAATAAATTATAAAAACAAAAGAATTATAAATTATAAAAACAAAAAAATTAAAAATTATCAAAGCCGCCGAAAATTAAAAACTAAAAACAAAAAAAATATATAAATGGAATGAAAAATCTATAGATACCTACTTTTATGAAAAATTCGATTATTTTCAAAATTTTTATACTCCATATTAAATCCGTCATTTTGAATTATGAAATTTTGATATCAAATTCGAATTCAAAGACCCCAAAATCGTATAGATACCCACTTGTATGCAAAAAACAATAACTTTACTAATTTTTTCCTCGATACACGTATACGCGTCACCCACACTAGTTTGGCACGACTTTTCCATGTACGTACACGTCATCCACAATTAAGGGATTAAATACTTTTTGAGTTATAAAATTTGAAAGAAGACTTGAAAGATGGTACTGCCGACCTTTAGCATTATTAAAAGTGTATCGCGTAGAGATTAAATCAGACATTATACAGAATCGAAATTTATTTCAGTAATACTATTACCATGGTACTCATTGATGAAAACATGTTGCACCGAAATTTTTATAATCTGGTCGTTCCGGTTGAAAAAGAATTGTAACACGTAGTTACAAGCTCAATTGTCTTCACATAATATTCAAACAACTGTCTAAGGTTAAACCAATGGCATCATCTCATGTTTCTCTCAAAGTCATAAGACTTTTATAAGAAACATATTTTTAAACCTCATGATTTCCAGAAATTATTTAAATTAAAATGGGATATATATAAGGAGTGATCAAAAAGTCTGGAAACGGTCAATTATCTCTGAAATAATTGGTTTTATAGAAAAATGTTTCAGACAAGATATATAATGTTTAGAAAATTTTAATGACTTTAAAAGACTTAAATAGACATTTTCACTTTTAATTACAGATTATTATAACTGACGTTGAAATCTTTCGAAAATTAGTTCAGGAACTAGAAGAATTTAATGTTGACCTACTACTATTAGGCCCAGTTCCACAAAATCAAGTTTAAACCGTGATTATCTGAACTGACGTTACATTTAACGGCATGGTTAAACTTATATCGCGTTCCACATCGTGCTTTTAACTGTAGTTTACTTAAACCTATAGTCTGTATGAAGAAACTGTCAAAGACTTCTCTTTCTTTTCAAAGGTAGAGTATGATTGATTGTTGCTAAAAGTGAAAAGAGGGAAAATTGAAATAAGCTGGATGCTATGGCATCTAGTAGAGAACAATATATCTGTTTCGTATCAAGTAAATACTAACCAACATTAACATTTGCTGTATTTGTATATAAGTATTAATTTATTAAAAGGTGGAAGTCCAGTGTTAATAATAATCAATTAGTTTATATTATTGATTGGATTGAATTTATCATATAATAATTGACTTTTATATATAGTTATTACTCTGTTTTAGAATATAATCTGTCGAAGCGAAAAATTCAATATTTTAAATTAAATTTATATACTTACTGTTCTATTTTATGAGAAATTTCATGCTCGATTTCTAGTAGAACTGCAATAACAGATTCTTTTGATAATCTAAATCGTGCATGAAAATCGACATTATCAAATTCTTCCAAATATGATAGTCGTCTTATTCTTGTATTTCTTGTCCGTCGATAAATTAAGTTTTCAAAATCTTCATCTTTAGATGAAGATAATATGTATTCTAAAGCCATATCTCTTTGGCGCTCAAATGTTCAAAATATTTGTCAACTGAACTCCAAAATCGGGATAGTCATAAATTTGTTTCTCAAATTGATGATGCTACAGTGTTAAACTTCGTTTAAATTCATTAAACGCCCAAAGTTTTGAATTTAACTTTAACTATGAGAAATCAACGTTAACCATGGTTTAAGGCAGTTGTGGAACGCAATTTTTCGTCTAAACTAGGGTTAACGAGTTAAACTTCGTTTACAGTAAGTTGTGGAACCGGGCCTTAATGTTATTCAACGCAGGGAAATTGCTTGTTCGTACTTTGCCATCAGTTGTTCTTAATAAAGGTCGTGCGTGTGCGTGTGGTGTGCGTGTGCGTGTGCGTGTGCGTGTGTGTGTGTGTGTGTGTGTGTGTGTGTGTGTGTGTGTGTGTGTGTGTGTCGTTGCAGTTTTTTAGATCTTTTAAAGAAATAAGAAATATGAAAGATCTCTTTCTTTCTCTTTCTTTCCCAATATTAGAAAGATCAAAAGAGATAATAAATGAGGATAACAAACGTTTAGACGTTTCACTGTCAGTACTTAAAAATCTGCACTCACTATTATTAAGATTAGGATAAGCAAATAACATAAGCAAACTTTGAAATTTTAAATGGAAACCCCCATTTTTTATTGCAGATACGGATTCTACGCCACAAAATACGTAAATTTTGTCCGAAACTTTTTTTTTTATTCGTGATAGATGGCGCTGTAATCGCAAAAAATTATATTTTCCGCAATTCTCCAGAAATGATCATTGGATTGAGAAATAAAAAATACCTGTTCAATATTTTTAAATCAACAAGTGCCAACAACTCGTGAAAATATGGTAGAACGCATAGGAAACGCTTGCGCTGAAACTCGCAGATATGCTTCTATCCTGTACAGTCATTTGAAAAAAGGATCAATAAGTGTATTGAAGTTGAAGGTAAAAATTTCGAACACTTACTCTAATTAATTGAACAGTGAGAGGCAAGGGGACTCACATTAAAAAAGCACCTCGATCTGTGAGAGGCAAGGGGACTCAATTAAAAAAGCACCCGAAGGGAACATAAAACTACTACATCCTCGTCGTTGTTCCTGTGTAACGCTAAAAGTAGTTTCTCGGAAAAATTCAACGCTATCTATCACGAATGAAAAAAATTGTTTCAATAAAAATTTCACGTACAATCTAATTCTGCAATGAAAAATGTGGGTCCCCATTTGAGATTTGAATGTTATCACCCACCCTACCCCGAGAGGATGGGGGGGGAATAACTTTTATTATGTTCTTTAAAAATATTGAATAGGTATTTTTTATTTCTCAATCCAATGATCATTTCTGGAGAATTGCGGAAAATATAATTTTTTGCGATTACAGCGCCATCTATCACGAATCAAAAAAAAAGTTTCGGACAAAATTTACGTATTTTGTGGCGTAGAATCCGTATCTGCAATAAAAAATGGGGGTTTCCATTTAAGATTTCAAAGTTGCCCCCAACCACCATCCCCAGGGGGTGAGGTGGGAGGTCGAGTTTGACATCATTGGATGTCCCCCTTCGAGACTAACAACTTTTATTAACCACTTTTTTTTATCCAATGCATAGTTCTCGAGATATTTCAATGTCTTCAGATAAATCGTGCACCCTGTATACTATTATATTAATGCTCGACTAAATAAATTTTGATTTATAATTTTTTCAGCTGCATGGCGAGAAAAAATTGAGAAAAATAGAGATTGGTTTTTAAGGGAAGAGAAACTCAGTCGTACAAACGGAAAAGCTCGTTTACCAGATTCAAAACCGGCCAGTCTTTTAATGGAACTCGAAGAAATTCATGGTACATTCCGAAAATTAAATATAGATTAACATAATGTTTGTTAAACAATGTTTGTTAAACATGGATAAAACATATATTCTAGCATTAAAGAATTAAATTTTTATCGATGTGCGATGTTCAAAGTTATCTCTTTTTATCTGATTAAATTATGGATCGAAATTACAATATAATATTTAGTAAATATATATGTACTGTTTCCTATATTTAAAGTAAATGAAAACTGCTTGTCTACTTCAAATATACTTCAATGTACAATTATGAAACTTTAAAATAAAATATCTCAGAAACTATAAGCGACCCCCATATAATTGTATTAGGAAAAGTCACTCAGGATTTTATCCTTTATAACATATTTCAAAATGAAAAAATCGGTGAGGTGTACCCTTTTCTATATATTTACCTTGCTTTTTTCCTTTTTCCATTATTATCTTTATTCTCTCATTTTTAGTTTCTTATTTGTTACATATTTTTTCTCACATATCTAAAATTATTTCTTGCACTGCATTGCAAATAAAAATATAAAGACCATGTTGACTTCAGAAGATAGTTTTTATAACAAGTGCATGTATAAAGATTGTCAGAATGGAAAATCGACTGGAAAACGATTATTCAAATTCCTAATGCAGAAGGATGCAAGATCTAATACATGGATACTTAATACAGGTAGGTCCTTCTGCAATAATTATTTTCTATATAGGAGAGATGCGGATAATAGTATGCATTTTTTACATTTTAATTAATTATACTATAACGAGACGATATACTTACTTCAAACTAACTTCAAACTTACTTCAAACTAACACTGAATATGAAGTGTTCTATCTGCTGTGTAGTGATACTACTACTATATTATACTAATATACTAAAAATACTAAAAATTGAAATTGATATAGTTGAATTAATAGTACTTCAAATAATTAACAATGTGAAATGCTGCAAATGCGTACTCTTGGACAACCTATGAGATAAGAGTACGCACACGAAATACAAGAGTACACATTTTTTATTCTATTAATTAAATTAATGAAATTGATTAAATATCATCCTGACTTACTGCGGTTATAAATCCTCGCCGTTTTATATTTTTGCGCTTGTATTTTGATATCTAAAACTAAAGGGAGCCGCCGAACTTCTTAGATCTAATGATGATATCGATATCACGCGACGCGTAAGCGATACGCAAGGATAATCGGCTGGTCAACGACATATACGCTGCGGTGGCTACTCAGACAGATCAAAGACGCTCATTATATCTTTTTTTTCTACCAATTAATTTTAACAACTTTTGTCTGAATTACTTTTTTATTTCCTTAATATTTTTAGAGGTATCTAAGGACAACTTGGCAACTTTTTCAACATTTAATTTACGATATCTCAGTAACAATTCGTTGAAAGAAAAAATAGTATTAGACTTTTTTTATTATCAAAAATATATTACTATAATAGTGCCCTAACTTTTGTTAACTTATCGACCTTTGGAAATTTCAAAATTATTAAATTAACAAAAGTTAGGGTACTATTATAGTAATATATTCTTAATAGTAAATAAAGTCTAATACTATTTTTTCTTTCGACGAATAGTTAATGAGATATCGTAAGTTAAATGTTGAAAAAGTTACCAAGTTTTCCTTAAATATCTCAAAAAATATTAAGCAAATAGAAAAATGTTTCAGACAAAAATTGTTAAAATTAATTGGTAGAAAAAGATGATATAATAAAAGATTGGGATTTCTATTTAAGAAAGTTAATGATCATATATATATACATATTTGTAATAATATAATAAAAGAGAATATAATATATTTTAATTTATTTTTATTTCCTCCAATTTTATATATTTATCATTCTTAATCTTTGCTCATCATGTTCGTTAACTAAAGGTTCAAAAAATAATATATAATTGTTTAATATATGAACGATAAAATAAAAAAATGAAAAAAAGTATTAATGTATTTTGTAATTTTATCCTATTAAGACTGATACACTAAACAATCCAATCAACATAACATTTCTCTTATAATTATTTTCAAACATTCTAAATATAATAATAACTTTATTTTAGATCAATGCGGATATTGACTTTTGGCCACATTTAGAAATATTTTGGCCCACTGCGCATGGCCGCGGAGCCGCTACTAGATTGAAATTTGCTATCACTAATATTACATCCTGCGGACTCCGGGCAATTAAAAAAATGTCTTTTTCTCTCGCAAACTTCTATTCTCCTAATATAACAATGGACATAGAAAACAGACACATCTAGCGAACAGCCGTCGCACTAAATGAAAGGTGATTCAGGAAAATTTCATAACAGAAAACAGTGTCCTGTTATAAGAATCTACACGTCTCTGTTCAAAGTTTATATCTGGATAATGTTCACCAAATGTGTCCATCGATTTAGTTATAAAATTCGAAACCCTGCGTTAACAAACTTTCAACAAAACAAAGCAACTCGAAGCATTCCTGCTCTAAAAATTTGAAACCTACATCTTTCCAATCTGAAACCATATGTTAAGAAAAACTTGGTAACTTTTTCAATATTTAACTTACGATATCTCGCTAACTATTTGTCGGAAGAAAAAGTGGTACTAGACTTTCTTGCTGTATTTAGTTTCAAGAATATATTGTTACAATAGTGCCCTGACTTTTGTTAACTTACTGACATTTGGAAATTTAAAAATCATCAAATATCATCAAATATCGTAAGTTAAATATTGAAAAAGTTATCAAGCTGCTGAAATTTCTCACAACTAATTTCGCCGCTTGTGCATAAATATGACTAATGCGAGCGGCGTGCTATCGATGTGTCAATTTTAAATCGAAGGCCACGCTGTGTGTACCTTCGCGTGCCAATGAAAACTAACAGACCTTCAAAATAACGTTGAACAATATTTTTCGTTATCATTGTATGCTAATGCGACGCACTGCCGATAACGAATCGCAATCGCTGGTGACACGGCGACAGAATAATTCATGTAGCTTCTACCTTCGACGGACAGAATACAGTATGTGTGACCATATACAGGGTGCCCCTTTTAATCCGGGCGCCTGAATAAAATTCGAGGATATTTTCCAGAAAAAAATGTCAGACAAATGTTGCTCAGTTCTAAGGGGGACATTCGATGCCATCAACAATTTTGACCTCGGGTGAAGGGTTCAAGGTCATTCAAGGTCAACTTTTTTTTCTTAAATGGGAACCCCTATTTTTCACATCGGCAATCGATTCTACGTAAAAAAAATAAAACTTTTGTCTGAAGCATTTTTTTTTTATAATGCAAACTAATTTCACTTATTCAGCCTCCAAAATTGAAATTTTCAAACTTTCTGAATTTTTTACTCGAGAATGGTGGGGTTTGGGGGGAAATTGCAGAAGACAAAAAGTTCTTGAAATGCTGCAAGGAATTCACTCGAATTTTCGCATAGTTGATCGTGCACTTTTTCCGCCAATGTTCTACCTGTCAGGAGATACCTCGAAAAAAGTGCACGATCAAATATGCGAAAATTCGAGTGAATTTCTTGCAGCATTCCAAGAACTTTTTGTCTTCTGCAATTTCCCCCCAAACCCCACCATTCTCGAGTAAAAAATTCAGAATGTTTGAAAATTTCAATTTTGGAGGCTGAATAAGTGAAATTAGTTTGCGTTATAAAAAAAAATGCTTCAGACAAAAGTTTCATTTATTTTACGTAGAATCGATTGCCGATGTGAAAAATAGGGGTTCCCATTTAAGAAAAAAAAGTTGACCTTGAATGACCTTGAGCCCTTCACCCGAGGTCAAAATTGTTGATGGCATCGAATGTCCCCCTTAGAACTGAGCAACATTTGTCTGACATTTTTTTCTGGAAAATATCATCCTCGAATTTTATTCAGCCGGCCGGATTAAAATGGGACACCCTGTATATATATATATCATTTTCATTATTGTCTGTTCCAGTAGCTCGGACATTAACCAGACACAAACTCGTATCTCAAATCACAGACACAAACCTCGTATCGTTACTCAACCTCGTATCGTAAACTCAAATCACAGACACAAACCTCGTATCGTTACCGAGACATCGAGTTAGTTGATGTCTATCTTCTCAGGGGGCGGATCAGGACAGACATATGCTTTCGCCCGGTGGCTGTTCTCAAGTTTCTCTCTGGATATATTATTGGTCTGTTCTTTTTAACTGCACTGCGGAACTAGTGCAATAAGTTAGAATGAGGCAACTATATTTTTTCTCACTTTAACTTATTGCACCAGTTCAGTAGTGCAGCTAAAAAGAACAGACCATATGTCTATGAGCACGCACGAGTCTCCCCACTTTGCCCAAAGCTGCGCGGAGCGTAGTCGTTTTCTCCGTGAGAATAGGTATTTTTAACATATTCGCGACTGGTAATGTAGTTCTATGACATTTTAAAGCCTTTAGCCTTTAGAACCGGTAACGTAGTCCTACGTCATTTCAAAATCTATGTTCATTTATTTAATAAACATATAGAAACTTTCGATACATTAATGGACAACAATATTGCCGTTATCTGAACAATAATATTGCAGAAAAAGGATAATATTTGTTTGGTAAGAAATTGGTCATTCATCATTTGTTTTACTATAACAAAATTATTTCAATTTCTTTCAATTTGATTATTTCAATTTGAAATTTTTTTGTTAAATTAGATATATATATATATATATATTAAGTTTCATATATTTTTTATATATATTAAGTTTTATATTATAGTAAAATTATTATATTTGTTTGCAAAAAAACATGTTTAATAAATTTAAACAATTCTTCCAATTTTTATATTTCCAATCACTTTTTATCATTTTTTACTCACGTTCGTATTTTTTTATTTTAATTTTTATTTTAAATTTTATTTAAATGATTATTAGTGTAATATAATGAAGTAATATTTTATATATTTATACACATTAAATAGCACAACTGTGCGGCCTTCAGCTATAGACATTTGAAAATTGTACGCAACGTTCAGGTAACGGTCTTGTCCTAATCGTCTTGTCCTAAAATCGTCGACTGCGAATGTGTATGTGTTAAGATATTAATTTTGCGAAAGTCATCTTCGCTTTATAAATCTTTATAAGTCTAATACTTTATTATCAAAGTCACAGATAACTGATAGCAAATATTTATAATGACGCAAATCATGGGTACGATATAAATAGAAATCATCGCAATTACATATTTGATTTCTACAGAAATTAATATGAAGAATTATGAAGGAATATCACGATATTCAATTTATGTATTCTGTATACTTGAAACAATTTCAAGTAGCTCTCTGCTTAAATTATCTCGCGTTGTAATAAATGTTGCAATATAAATAAAACGCACACACATATACACAAGCAAGCATTTATTCCACGCGAAAGCTGCTCTTGCGGCGCGCAAGATATATGATGTATATACAAAGTATCGCATTTCAGTTTTCAGTATAAGTGCATTCGTTATGACAAACAAGAAGTAAACATGTTGATTTTCTAAATCTAGATAACGACGACATAACGCATATGCCGCATGATTTTTTACTATTAATTATATGCATTATCAGCGAATGGACATGCATACGTATGGCTATCGAATATTAATAAGATACACTGACTATTTGTGAGACGTCGTTCTTTGGCTTGGAATATTCCTTATATATCTGCATATATTCAGACACACGAAAGAGAGAAGGGAGAGAGAGAGAGAGGGAGATAGAGTGTGTATGTGTGTTTTATTCATATACAAAACGTTTTTATAGCGGGTTTGCGATAATTATCGCTGGCAAGAGATGAAGGGATAGCTCAGTTCGTCGATACAATAATGTGCGAAGGATTCAATCAAAATTATGCAACAAAATTAAATACGTGAGCGTGTGCGGCGTATTATATTACACAAAAATATTTATATTAAAAATATTGATATATTACCGTGGGGTCAATTTTATTAACGAGTAATTAACGAATAATTTACTTGCGCGCATACACGTGTCTTATCCTCGCGCGGAATGAAAAGTATTCATTTTTACTCCTGCTCTCTCCTCTCCGAATTGCGTCTTTACAAATGGTACTACATTGGCGGATATATACGGATGTTATCGTCAGCTATCGTAATGTACATAACACATACAACGAACATTACATGGTCGCGGATTACTTATCAATGAGCCGCGTGTTTGTTTTCCGTAGCTAAAGTCAACGCATTAATATGCTGCATATAAGGCGGTCGCGATTCCAGTTGCAGTTCTGATAGTCGGTCAACCGAGGAAATTTTCATGTGTGCTCTGTCGACTTGGCGACTAACTGTGAAAGAGGACCAAGCACGGAGCCGACTACATGGGAGGGCGGTGAGTGTACATTATATTTGATCGTTATGAAGCGTGTTTGTTACTATTAATTAGTACGTATATAAGTAAAAGAACAGGCGATCATTATTATATACGCATTCGTGCAGTTTCACGTTCACATTAGGCTTCCAGGCACGACGAGGCTTGCGCAAATATTATGTCGCATTTATGAGTTGCACGTGCGTGTATGCGTGTGTGCGCATGAATGTGTGTGTGTGCGCGCACGCGCGTAAGTGTTCGCGTACGGACGTCGTGGCAATTAATTAATCGGTTAAATACTGTCGCTTGAATGCATCACGCGATGTCGCATGTTCTCGCGGCACATATTGCGAAATCATCGATTTCGCAATAACATTAATCGTCTCTTACAGTTATTACAGTTCGAGGAACTTGAGGAAAATTTTTCTCGATAAGTTTATTTTATCTCTTCAAAGAAAAGACTGAAATCTGCGAAATTTCCGTTGAATAAAATTTGGAAAATTCTTAAAGGATAGATTTATGACTTGAAATTGAGAGAGAAAGAGAGAGAGAGAGAGAGAGAGAGAGAGAGAGAGAGAGAGAGAGAGAGAGAGAGAGAGAGAGAGAGCATATACACAAACTATTTTCTTTCTAAGGATTAATAAATTGACGACGCAATGGTTAACTCGTATTAATTGACAACTTGACGATCGGTTAGCGCGATTCTATTAAAATTTTTATTTGCGTCATAGGCAACTGAATATATCTCAAGGATAACACATGCGATTGCAGCTACAGTTGATCTCTCATTTCGCGGCAATAAAATAAGTTTCCTCGCGAGCAATCGAACAATTTACGCGTTAAGTGAACTTTAACACAAGACACTTACATATCTTCGTTAAAACGCCGAGAAGTTCTATAAAATAGTTCCTCGTAATGTCGATGTCACATTCGTGAACGTGACTGTTGTGCCAATTAACAGCAACGATGATGAGTAATGGTACAATGTGTTGCACACACACACACACACATACACTCTCTTTCTCTTTCTCTCTCTCTCTCTCAACAAACAAATATATAGCTTAAGCCCTGTCACACGGTATAGTGCGGCGGCAGGGTGGATTGATTTTTCGCTTCTTGACGTCATAACGAATCTAGCATGCGCGTGATAGTTAAACACGGTGTCGATATCGATACCGGTGCATATTCTCACATCCTTGTACCGAATAAAAAAAAATTTAATTAAGGTTCAATTATGGTTTCTTGCTTCTCGCGCCATATTATTTCATGAAAGTGCCAAATCTGACAAAACTAAATCATCTGACCAAATCATTCATTGAGAATTGCTTCTACCGAGCAACTCGTACGTATTGTTGCGTAATGTAATGATCCACCGTTATTGCGCTGATATCGTAACGCTTTTTGCTAACTACTGTTCATCTGTAGTTGACAGACAGAGTTTATTCATATGCCGACACAATCGTTAACAACTTTTTAATTCTGACAAAGTTGATTCTAATTTGCTCAGTTGCAATTAACTCATGAAAAGAGCAGCATTCAAACAGAAGTTACTTCTTTCGGATTGTCATACAGAAATCATCTGTATAAAGATTGCACGAGAAACTTCAATTATGCCGCATACATACCACCGCGAAGCAATTTGAAATCACAATCTTCTTTGGAACAATTTGCATGATATATTTAATAAAAATTGACATCCTTATGAGAGCGAGATCGATACGTAACGTGGCTACGAATGAAAAGCAAACCAGAAGGGATGCAGAGAGTGAGGGTAGAACGCGTTTATAAAATGTTATAAAATAATAACAAAATCACACACACACACATACATACACAGAGAGAGAGAGAGAGAGAGAGAGAGAGAGAGAGAGAGAGGAGGAGGAGGAGAGGGAGAGAGAGAAGATAGAGGTGATAAGAGGAAGATGAAGAGGGAGAGGGAGAGAGAAGGAGAGAACAAAAGAAACAATAGCAAACACACGGGTCTTGTAGTGAAGTCAGCGAGAGAAAAGAGAGAAACGCGGAGGAAAACGTTGGGGTCACGGCGAGTTCATTCAGTGGCGACAAGTTCGCTGATTGCTGTCGAACTCGTTTCGTTTTGTCAATCACGGCCGCAACCTTCTCTTTCTCTCCTTCGTATGTTTCTTCTCTACCATACTAGAGGCCTGATAGAATCTTTTTCTTTTTCTTTCCGTACCTATCCTGACTATACGTTTCCACTGTGCGCTGTTTCGAGGCAGCACCGCGCAGACGTCCGTCGAGAGATCAACGGCGACGATATCGGCAAAGGTTTCGATCAACTTTTCCCTTCCCTTCCTTTCGCTTCCTTTCTCACTCAACCCCTTCCTTCCTTCTACCTCGTTCGAAGACGAGCTCTGCTGCAAGAGTCGTCAACGTGCGCCCGCGACTATTCGCTGTGTAATCGACGTGTGTCGCATACTTGCGAGAGAGACACGTGCATCGACATGACACAGGCTGCGCGACGCCCAGTTGTCTTCGTCGTCTATCTGGCTCAGCCTCGGCGACAGCGCGCGGCAATGGTGGCGGCAGCGTCAGCATCAGCGTCAGCGGTGGCGGCAGCGGTGGTGGCTTCGATCGGCCGGCGGCCCTCGTAAGCGGAGGTGGGTCAACTTGAACTGGCGCTTGAACGACCAGTCGTTGACAGGTGGTGCGCAATTCTGGTCGGTATACACGAGCGCACTATTCGACACGCAAATCCCTGTGTTCTCGCGACTCTCCCTTGAATTTGTACGACCCTCGCTGTGGATAAAAATTTCTTACCGTGCACGCATCAGTTCACGCATATTAATTAGTTTTTTCGTGCATTGTGTCCGTTAGTGAGCACAAGTTGCAGCGTAGATCACAGAAACGAAAATTATAAAGAAGAGGAAGAGGTCGAAGGATCGACAGAGGGGTGGCTATACTGTGAGACGCTCGCAATATCGAAAGGAATATAAGACGGAGAAATTTCTGATCCGCGAATCGCCTACGAAGAGACGTGATCCTCATCATCTGGGGACCCTTGGCGATTCATCATCGCGATCGCATGGAGCACGCAGCTGGAGGACGTGCGATCGTCCTGCGAAACGCATCGCGCGAAAGAAACGACCCGTAATCGGTAGGATCGAAGACCGACAGGCAAGAGCGGGAGACTGTCGAGTGAGAGCTGAAGGCTGGAGGGTTTGCTCACAACCATCAAAGTGTGATCCAGTGCAGCAGCGTTGACCCGAGCATAGGTTAGAAATCCGACTCGAGACGCGCTTTCGGTGCAAAGTTCACCCGCTTCTTTTCTTCTTCGACCCAGTGTTAATGCCTTTTCTCACTTGGTTACCCTGCCAGGACGTCAGTTGGAAATTGCGTGGAACGTTCTGCTTGTGCAACGATATGTTGCAGTTGCAGCTCTTTTTCTGCCTTTTTTTTCTTCTAACTCATCGTCACGCTCTGAGAAACGAAATTAAACAGGAAAAATAAAGCTGCGATCGTTTCCGTGTCTCATCCGCGATTATACTCGGTGCAACTGCCCGCACATTCCTTTTCGTTCTGTGCATTCCTATATCTGTTCATTCTCTGTTGTTCGCATAAGGGAAACGTCCGCTTCAATAAGCTATTCGTTAACAGGCAAAAGAGCACAACATGCAGAAATATTTCATGCATCAACTGAACCCTGTCTCCTCTTTTTCATTTCTCTCTCTCTCTCTCTCTCTCTCGCTCTCTTTCTCTCTTCCTCCTCCTCCTCTCTCTCTCTCTCTCTCTCTCTCTCTCTGTCCGTCTCTCTCCGTCTCTCTCTCTTTTCCTCTCGTTGGCTACGCGTAGTTGATTATATACATATATATATTTGCAATGCCTATATACCGCACTTCATTCGCGCGAGAGCGTGCCGCCTCGCCAACTCGTCGCGCCTCCACACTGTCGCGTGTATTCGAGCAGCATGCGTCAGCTGGAGTGAGCGAACCGGCGTGCAGCTGTCACAGAGAAAGAGTGCGGATTGCTAGGAGTGTATCTCGGTCGTGCGATTTTTGCGGATTCGCTCGCGGTGCCGCCTACGTCTCAGTGGAGAATCGTCGCAGGTACACCTCGTCGTTATCGTCGTCAACATCGTCGTCGTTGTTGTTGCCATCGTCGTCGCTGTCGCAGGAGAGAAACCGGCAACAGTCAAAGAGACGTATAATACGAATCGATCACGAGTAAGTCACTCTTCCGTGAATAACAGTCGTGGTCGACATCGATGTCGACTTAGTCATCGTTGTTCTATGCTCGTCGTCGTCGTTCCAACATTTGTGCGACACTCGGGCGCCGTTGGCCGCGCATGTCGGAGTCGAACGTTTTTCCGGAGTTCTTCTCGCAAAATGTACCGTGACTGCATTTACTTTTACTTACGCCTCTTTTTTCGCCTCGTTTCTTCAGGGGAACACTCTGGACACAAACGGAAAGAAATTCGAACGCGAAGTATGACTCTGATCGACAGTCACTGCTAGGTGTCGATACAACTTTATCATCGCGTGGCCGCTGACTATTATTCCACCTATTTATCTAGATCTACCCGTCTCTCTCTCTCTCTCTCTCTCTCTCTCTCTCTCTCTCTCTCTCTCTCTCTCTCTCTCTCTCTCTCTCTCTCTCTCTCTCTCTCTTTCTCTCTCTTTCTCTCTCTGTTTTACTCGCTCTCTTCGTTTGTCTGTCCGTCTCACTTTCAACTTATATAAGAGAGCACTGTCTACATCGAGTACGAGTGTCCCCGCCGCGCTGCAGAGGCGAGCCTCGAACTTACAGCACCCTGGCCTTGCAAATGTGAATGTAGTTGCTCGCTTCGCGGCTAGCGTTAACATTAGCGCATATGCATTATGTGTATGTCGCGTACGCGTTCGCACCGTCCGCAGTCGTATACACAACAGGCGTACATCGCTATCGTACATATTATTTGCATGATTCAATCGAATGAGTTACTGTTAGTTTCTATACGAGCAATTGATAGATTTCGTTGCCGTTGCGATAACCTTGTTATTACTCTATCTTATCATATACCCTATACTTTAGCCTTTAATATTTTCGCACGTTAAAAGATAATAACAGCCTTTGTCATCCACGATCGGGAAATCTCTACTTGTGGCTGATCTTATTTGCGCGAGGATTCGTACAAATTGAAAGGATAATTAATTGGGAGCAAGAAATAATTAACGTCACTTACATAGATAGAGAGAATAAAAAATCTTGTTCGGCGACATCAGACCGTCGACTTACAGCCACAGCATAGTTAAATATTGATTTATGTTATCAACGTACTTCCAACGTACATGTAGACATGGCAATTCGTTTTTGACGTTGCGGTGCGTTGTGTGTGTGTGTGTGTGTAGGATCATTTGGCTCAACGACCGTGTCGATTGTGTATGTCACGATTTAAGCGGCGCGTACCGATGCCACTTGATTTTATTGTTGCATCCAGATAAGGTAAAACCAGACAAAAAAACAATAGCGTTGAATAAGGTGTAACTGTGTGTAGGATAAGGAGAAACGCGTGACGAGAGAGGAACGATAAAGAGAAGATGCACTGAAATTGACAAGTATATGCAACGAGATTCCGAACGAAAATAAAACTCCGATTTCCGATTCTTATGCATCTCTCGTGCGAGGCAAATGAGAGAAACACACTATAATAACTACGTACTATAATAACAATGATTGTACACGACGCGCACATTGTTCCGCAAGATTAAACGCTGAAAGAGGTCGGCAATGAGAACACCGATTACTTAATTAATGCGGCTAACGGACGGTCGGCCGTCGTGCGGCTCGTTGACCCCGCGTGCAATTCTTAGACTCGTACCGTCCTTCAGCAGAATTGATTTACCGCTCAACGACAACGACGACGACGACGATGACGACAAAAAAGACACGAAGAAAAGACAAAAGTAGTTGCCGAGTTCGCGAATATCCCATTCGGCTTTTTTCCATTGGCTACATTAAAAGTCGCTGAGGGACTATCTATATTCTTTTACATGTTCTCGACTGACCTCCTCGTGACCTATTCTGCAATGCGCCAGCACGGTATCTACGCGGCGCAATCCGCATCTGCTTCTACCACTTGCCGTAGCGTGTATCTACAGTCCGTTTCTACACACGTCCTACTCCGGCCTACATCTCTCTCTCTCTCTCTCTCTCTCTCTCTCTCTCTCCCCCCCCTCTCTCTCTCTCTCTCTCTCCCTCTCTCTCTCTCTCCCTCTCTCTCTCTCTCTCTCTCTCTCTCTCTTGTTCACTGTCGCTTTCTCTCGATCTCTCCCATTTTTTCGCTTTTTTTCGCATTTCTTCACCTTTTTCGCTTTTTTCACTTTCTTTCGCTCTCTTTTACTCTCTTTCTTTCTCTCTCTTCTACCCTTCTGCTTTTTTCTTCCCTCTCTCCGTTCCACACTCTCGTTCTCTCACTATCTCTTTTTCCTCCCTTCCCGCCCCACCGTTGCTACTCTTCCTTCTACTTCTCTCCCTCCTATTCTCTTCACCTTTTCATCATCTCTCTAAATTTTCTCTCCCTCTCCTTCTCCCTTTCCCTTTACTGCTTCCTCCCTTCTCTAGCCGCCTCATTCTTTCTACTACTCTCACTTGTCTTTCTCTGTTACTTTTTCCCTTCTTACTTTCAATCTTGCTTTTGTTTCCATCTCTTGTTTCTCTCTCTTTCTCCCTTTACTCCCTCTTTATCCCCTCTCTTTTCTTTGGTTCGCTATTCTCTATCGTCCCTGTTTCTGCCTCTTCCAGTCGTTTTATTTTTCAAATCTTCTCTCTCTCGTATCTTCTTTTCCCCTCTTTCAACCTCTTTCCTCTCCTGCCTCACTTTTTCTCTCTCACTCATCTACCTCTCCCCTCTCTCTTTATATATGTATATACAGGGTGTCCGGGATCTTTTGGAAACGAAAAATTGTGAAGATTAATCAGATCAAACTGAGAAAAGTCAAGTACAATTTTGCAAAAATTGCAATAGTCATTAAGTTATCAATGATTGAAAGTGACCATATCTAGAAACTTTCTAAATTAATAAATTGATAATTTGCGTACTTGCAAAATGATAAGAGCTTTTTCTATTCAGAATTACCTAATCTCCAATTATATGATAGGCTATTGCCTAGCGACAGGTTCAAGATTCAGAGTTCAAAGTTCAATTTACTCATATATCGTTATACAGGTGTCCCATTTTAATATCCGACCCCAAATAACTCTTCAATATTGAAGTTTCAAGGAAAATGATCTGAATAAAAGTTGTAGGGATTTAAGTGAGATACCTTATGATGACCTTGACTTTGATCTTGACCTCTATTTTCAAGGTTATTTGAAGGTCAACTTGCGTTTTTTAAATGGGAACCCTTATTTTTTATTACACTGTTTTTTTTACTAGTTAATTTGAAAAACTTTTGTCTAAAACATTTTTTATTTGTCTAATTTTTTTGAGATATTTGAGGAAAACTTGATAACTTTTTCAATATTTAACTTCCGATATCTCGTTAACTATTCGTCGAAAGAAAAAATAGTATTAGGCTTTTTTACTTTAGACTATTTACTATCAAGAATATATTACTATAATAGTGCCCTAACTTTTGTTAATTTAATAATTTTGAAATTTCCAAAGGGCAATAAGTTAACAAAAGTAACGGCATTATTATAATAATATATTCTAATATATTCTTGATAGTAAATAAAGTAAAAAAGTCTAATACTATTTTTTCTTTCGACGAATAGTTAGCGAGATATCATAAATTAAATGTTGAAAAAGTTTTCCTTAAATATTTAAAAAAATATTAGGCAAATAAAAAAATGTTTCACACAAAAGTTGTTAAAATTAATTGCTAGAAAAAGAAGATATAATAAAAAAATGAGCTTTCCATTTAAAAAAATTAAGTTGTCCTTCAACTAACCTTGAAAATGCCATCCATATAAAAAACTGATAATGCCATTCTCTTTCCTCTTCGATTATCATGGAACACGTGTTTTAGTTTTTTTAATATCTTTCATAATTTTCGAGATTTTTTACCTGTTACGTTTGAAATTTAGCACCCTGTATATATATATTCCTCTCGTGGCAAAAAGTGCGGCCTCGCCGAAATTGAGAAGTTGCACACATTTTAGATGTCGCTGTTCCTCGCAAATCACGGGAATATTCGTTAATTAATCTTTGAGAAAGACTAAATTTATAAACTTTGATTATTTATGGCGGTCTATTTGCCTATGTACATTGATAACGTTAAGATCATATTTCTTT